GAGTTTTACATGTGGAATTTTGTATCATGCTCCATTTTGAAAAGAGTATTATAGAATTTATTCCAAGTGGAATTAATATTTCATTCAGGCCAAGCATTAAGACTCTGAATCGCATGTTATTATTAATTTCTTCACAACAGCCTTTTTACGGAAACAAAACTATGCAAGAAAACCTAATTTAGATAATCTATTTAAACAAATCTTAATAATCTTACGTAATCTCTGGACATAAGGCTGTACAGTTTTGCAACATGAGCCTCATAAAGTTGCTTTTGCCTGCAGTTTTATTGTTTATGAAAATGAGGAAAAATTTGTCACTTTAGGGGGAAAAAATCTGTAGCTTAAAAATGGAAAACAATATCCTAATTTGCATTATCTTGAAATTCTAGCTACGTCATATAGAGAACAAATTGGAAATAGCTCCCACCAGCACGGCCGTATTTGATTCTGTCATGGATGCCAAGAAGCCCTCTGCTAGCACTAGCAGGAAAATAAGCAGAAAGGGTATGTATTGTTGAGGACATAGCGTGTAAGGCAGGGTAAAGCCACTGCATTGCGGGAAAACTTTGTTTCTCCTCCCCATTTGTTTCTTGCTAATGATCTTTATTCATGAAACTCTAATTGGCCAGGAGAAACTAATGTTTTCTTCCCTTAGATTAGGAAAGAAAGTATGCTATCATAGTCACCTGGCTAGAGCGAGTGGCAGGACTTTTCCCCATGCTGTGAGTGAGCAGTGCTTATCCCATTCCGATACCTTGGTTTTGTGGGGGTTTTGGATAACCATGGTATATGCCTATGCTCACGCTGGACTAGCTGTTTATATTTTTTGATGTTTGTCATCTGTTACGCCCTGATAGAATGCTAAATCCGGTACTTCCTTTATTTAATTTTAAGGAGAGCATTTGCTTATAAGAAATAAACCTTTGATTTAAATACTAACTATTTAGAGCATTCTAGTAGCGTGGCACTGGAGAAGAACGCACAGATTGACCTCTAGTGGCAACACGATCAACTTTCACAGATTTAATTACTTATAATTAATGTTTAAGCATTATTAGTGCTCTCTTTAAATATGATCATTGTTTCAGGCACTTGCCACCTTGCTCCTAGTTGTTGAAATCAGCTTGTTGAAAAAGAGAGGGAGTGCCTTAAATGCTATTTTGGAGTGCTGCTCGAACCCAAGAAAAACTGTGTTCTTAATCGTTTAGCTCCAAGAGCTTTCTCTTTCTGGAGAGATAGGTACATAGAGGATTCTTTGGTTTCTGCTTCAGCTTCCCGGTCCTCCAGCCAAAACAAATCAAGCAAGGAGAAGTCCTCACGCAGCCCTCTTCGAGCGACCACTCTTGAAAGCAATGTGAAAAAAAGCAATCGTGTAGAATTTCGTGAACCTTTGGCTTCATACAGGTTAGTGCTGGGACAGTTGACTATTAAAGAAAAATATGCTAACATCAGAATTAAGTTAATGGTGGCATTTTTGACAACTCCTCAAAAATTTATTTGCTTCCCCCCTCACCCACCCACCTGAGCAGCATGTGGTGTTGGACAAAAGTGTCTTCCTTTTTAGAAGAAAGTTACAAATTTTGTTGTTGTTGTTGTTCAGTGAACGTGAATTTAAAGTCAAAGGTGTTGAAATGGGGCCAGATCATCAAGTTGATGTGGCTGTGGCCTCAGTGGCCTGGTAAGTTTGATAGATACTTAGTTTCAGTAATAAGGACCAAAAAGAGTTTTTCTTCATCCTTTTTCAACTTTGTTTCATTAGTTCTTGAGCACATGTTCCCAAATGTATTACCATAAGACAGTGTAGAGCAAGAACATCTAGTACTAAAAATGCATTCACTTTTTGTGAGTGTGTGTGAGAAACCCAAATAAGGACAACTGTATCAAGGAGAAAAAGTGGCACAGAATGCTGCAGATCGTAGAACGTGGTAGGGTGCAAGGAATGAAGGAAAATACGGAAAGTCTGTTTTTCCTAGCTTACTTTAAGTACTGTAGTAGATATAAGATGCCTCAAACTTTCAAAAAGAAAGAGAACCTGCAGTAGAAATAAACCAGTTATAACTTGCTGTAGTATCAGAGCCTAGAAGACCTTTACTGTACCTTCTTCAATTCCTTGTGTTTTATAAGCAGTGTGTGTTCTTTGCACAGGCCTTATCCCTGATGAATAGCTTGGTTGGGTTGGTAGTAGTTTTTTATTGGATTCTAACACGTGCTTCATGCTTTTTTCTAAATAATCTCCCAGTGAAGTCAACTTGTTGTTGACTGATTAGAGTGGAGTTGGGACAGTGGTATTTTTTTTAATTCTACTACATCTCTATAAATAATTGTTATCCTAACATCTAAGTTTTGGTCTCCTTTTCCACTTGTCCTGTCAACTGTGAAGAGGTTCTCCTTCCTTGTTGCACGGAAGGCTGATTTGGATCAGTTGTGTAATCTTGGGTCAGTTTTGTTAATGGAACAGCTCTGTTGTCTACCCTATCTGGAATAACTTACTTATATCAGTTATTCGTTTTAAAAACATGTAGTAAATTTAACAGACTTCAGGGAAAATAAGAAAATGAGAGCCCCTAAACTCATGCCATTATATGAAATTGAAAAGAATAGCTTTCTTACAGTAAGAAGATTGTGTGGCATTGGGGGGGATTAATTTGGGGATTAACATCAGAGCTGCTACACTAACACATTACTTCTTTTCTGAGAACAGCCTGTAGCCTATGCTTGAAGTGTGCATAGGAAAACAAAAACCAGAATAATGGATAGAACAATCAATGTTTATGTATAGATATACACACACTTTTGGTGAAATTCTGTGCAATTAAACCACTCAACTTTTATGTTGATTGGTAAAGATTACTACACTGTATGACAGAAGTGCACTACTAGAGAGAGGTGGGCAATTTCACAAGTACAGTGTTATGACCTGGCTTAAATGAATTTGGTAAACACGCTCACTAAGGAAGCAAGCCAGCTAACTTAGGTGCCACATTTTCACATTTTCAGTTCCTCATCAGTAAAAACACTGAACACTTCTTGTCCTAACAACATATGTTCCATGAGTCCATTCAAATGTGGAGTCTGTTTTTTCTGTGAAAAAAGTGCTGAGAGATCCTTCATTTGTTGAATTCCTGAGCTCTCAGTAAGCTTTACATTTGTTGCAATATAGCCAGTTCACTCTGAAGTTCTTGGCGGGGGCTTGCCTTTTTAATGCTCAAATGCAGGGCAGGGGGTTTTGGTGCAATTTACTTGTTTTCTCAGCTAATGAATGCACTCTTCAGTAACTGTGCATGTGTGCATTGCTTTGTTTTAGAGAACATATATTAATGATGCTTCTCATATGAAGTTATACACTTGTTTTTATTTAAGGGGGTTTTTTTGAAAAAAATTGAAGGGTAACATTATTGCTTGCTGATTTTTCTACATGCCCTAATTTCAGCTCAACTTTATATATAGTCCTGTTCAGCTAGAGTATGCAGAAAATTAAATTTTGAACAGAAACGTCTTTCAGTTTCATCAGACTTGCAGTATTAAATGTATGGTGATCACACTTTAAAAGAACTTGCCTTTAAAGTGGAGACAAGGTATAGGAAGTTATTCTTTTAGTTAATGAATGTGCTGATTGCTGGGTTGGAAGGTCCTACAGCTGTGTTTCTGATGGTGAATTTCTTCTTCCTTCTATTACATCAGGGATACGTATAGTTCTCTGTCTTATCACAGTTCCAGCCAACTTGAGGCCAAGCAACTACTCTCTACTTTGGACCTCAGTGAAGCAGAAGGGAAGACTGAAATAACAGGCCGTATGATGCATGACCGAGATGAACGGGGTCTGCACAGCACAGATTTTGAAAGCCCGTGCTCCTCTGCTGCAGATGAGACTGTTGTTAGGTATTTGAATGACCGACCAGCAATTGATGCCTTGCAGAACAATGAGGCATTTCTTAAGGTTGCAACACCTCCAAGACTGGAAGAGGAAAAAAACAGTGGCTCCAGAGGAGATGACAGTAGCACTAAAACTCCTCAGAGTACCACATCCCAGGACAGTGAACTGAAAGTGTCTTCCCCTTCTGCCACGAGTACTTCTAGTGCTCATAGGCTGGAAATCTTGAAACGACGGCAGCATGATGCAAAGTTGGAGAAGCTGAAGGAGCGGATTCGAAAGCAGTGGGAGCATTCTGAAGAGCTAGGTGGCAGAGGGCAGCACATGGGATATCCTGAACAACCTGTCGTAATCACAAATGTGGAGAGTGCGGTGACTCCCAAAGTCAGGAAAGTGGCAGCTGCACCTGCTGCTCCATCGTACAGAGGTATGGAGGTGCAGAATCCCTCCCCCTCGGTTATACGTGGTGAAGTAGCGGAGTTCAATTCATTGAGCAACATGTCAAAGCATGGACATGACTTATAGCTGTATTTGGGTAATACAGGAGCAGATAGCATGGTTTGATCAGAGAGATGGACAAGAAGGAAAATAAATTCTTGCCAATTTACAGAATTGTGGATTCTTTTGAAATTTTTCCCGTCTCTTCTTACAAGTTACTATAAAAAAGAAGCTCACTGCGTTAGTGTTTGGGTTGATTTTGATATTCTTTTTTTTATGGTCCCAGTGGTTAGCAATATTGTATTGATTGAGAAAGCATTTTGCATTTTTAATAATCTTTTTTTCATCCAGTCTGCTGTTTTTCAACTGTGAGCAAGTGGCAGACTGGTATATTGCTTTCTTATAACCTAGCATTAGAAATTCAAGTAGTTCCTTTCTTACTTGGCACTTTTCCACCCCTTCCACCCTGAAAAAGCTTTATTTACATTTTACGCAGTTATTTTAAACTGTTAAATTGTTTACTTTCAGGTTTCAATCCTGCTGCAACAAAGATTCGCGCTCCAGATGGAAAGATCTGGCATGAGGAAGAATTTCACATTAGTCGGGAGCTATATAGAGATATAGCACTCCAGTTAACAGGTGAGACACAAACTGAAAGGACTAAGCCATACAACCTTCTCTAAGAGGCAGAGAAATGTATTTCGTACAAGTCTACAAAGTCATGGAAACAAAAAATTGAAGCAATGAGTGTTAAATATATTGGACTTCTCTCCACAGGAGGAGTAACTTGTTGAATACTAAAACAGGGAAAAAAAGAATCAAATGATGGCTTTCCTTTGAAACAGGAATAAAAAAAAAGGCTTCATTAGAACAATTTCTGTTGAATTTTGTAATTTCTTTATACATGTTTGTGTGAATGAATGCAATTTTCTGTTTAAAAGGACAAAACCAAACCACTTTTTGGCTTTGAAACCTATATAATCTCATGGGAACAATTTTGATATTTGTATGTTGAAGCCTGAATGCTACTTCCTTCAGCACCTTGTTTTAACAAATTGTCAGTCCTGAAGCTGCTTTGGGAATTGTTGGTGGTTTAGTTGGAACTAAAGGGGAGTTGGGGGGCATCTGCTGTGGAAAGTCTCTGGGAATGCTTGTTTAAAATGCACTAGGTAGCCTGCAGTAAAAGGGATATGCCTTCAGGTATGTGTGGTGGAGGTGAGATTATATGGCATTACGTTGGTTTAATGTCTCTGAACTTTTAGAACTTTAGTGCTTTATATCAGAGTAATCCAAGTCTTGAAGTTCTTGGAGAAATTTATGTCCCAGAGGTTTGTATGCAAGGACTTTTTTAGAGGTCTTCTCTGGATTCCGTGAGGAGCAGGAGAACAGGTACACCAGAAGAAGGTTTAAGAAACCTTTTAAATAATCTAGGTTTTATTTCCTCTAAATCTCTTTTACCTACATTATTGTAAGGCTTGAATAGGATATGGGAGGGGGGACTATGTAACTTCACAGTGGTAAATTAACAGAACGTTGTCTTTGGGGTTTATTCCACATGAAGGTGTAGGAGAAAATGTTGAATGCTGAAAGCTTAGAAAACTGCTACTCATTCCTCTTTGCTTTTGTGTTTTGAAAAACATTAAATATCATTGTTGCAAAATGGCAACACAGGAAAAAAAGTTCTATTTTAGGTGATGAACTCATTTAGCAACACAATATTCCGATGCTTTAAAATATGAGCAAATATGATTAAAAAATGCTGTATATTTGCTTGACAGTTATGCTGCTAAAACACCAAAACTGCTATATATGCTTTATGTTTTCAAATTTACTGCTCCAAGACCCAATCTTTATTAATTTTTCATTCTGAAAAACTGCAGTACCATTGGCAGCTCTCTTCTCTGGGTGATACAGGATAGGATGCCCAAGTGTCCATTTTGATTTGCTAGGCTGGTGAAAGTGGAGCACTGTAAGGTTGAATTGCTTTTGACTGACTGAGTTGGGGGAGGGGGAAGAGATCAGATGAAGGAAAAGGAAGGGAATGGAAGATAAAATCCCCTGAGAAGCTGACTTTTGCAGCTTAAGAGTTTTCTTATTACATATTAAAAATAACTTTTCTCATTGGTCAAAACATATTTAAGACTGGAGGTAATGTGGTGAGTTTGTAAACATCTTTGTATGCTGATAATATAGTGGCTGGTATGGAAATTATTAGATTCACAGCTTGACAAGGCCCTGAGGAATTCTGGAATCACTCAAAGTTCAGAAAGGACAGCAGCTTCTTTTCAATAAAATTGTTTTGCAAATATTCTTCAGTATCAGTCCCTGCGTTTAATGCCAAATCTCTGAAGGCTTTTCATCTGTTAGCATTTTTTTTTTTTTTTTTTTTTTTTGCAAGCATAATATGAATGATTCATGAGGCCTCTATAGAAATCCAAGTTTTTTAAAAGTTTCCTTGAAGAGGTCCAATTAAAAAGGCATTTGGATCATGTGTTCAGTGGTCCTCTGTCTACAAAAGGAAGGAGCTGTGTGTGTGTTCAGCCACATGCCTGTCCTGATGCCCTGTGTGGAACAGCTGTGATGGAACGTGTCTCCTTTCTGACCTGAAAAGATTATGTTGAATAGCTGATTCCAAGTAATCAAATGCTGGTGCTGCACATAATATATACTGTAAATGTATTTTTAGGTTGTCAGATTATCTATACATGTGTTAATTCTTTATTAAAGTTACAGCATGTGGAGTTTTGGGTGTGTATAGTCAGTTGTATCAAAACTGTTCCATGTTCTCTAGTGCTAAAATAAGCTATAAGGTCTCCAGTATCTACAGAAGCATTGTTCTTTACTGCAATGAGTTTTTTACGTGTAAGCATAGACCATACAGAATGTCTTTATTCTGGTTTAGCAATTAGGCTAAAGGATATTGTATGGACCCCAAGGTTCCAGTAATTCTGTCTTAAAGATGGTCGGGATTGGCCTTACTAGAACAAAATTGCTGTGATATGAATAGAGTGGGAAGCAGCCTGCAGTTTCCTGGTATCAGGAAGGAACTGTTTGTCGCTGAAAGAGGAGGAAAGCTAGATTTCTGCAAATGCAGCCACTGAGGCCTCTGGTACTTGAAGCATTGATTCTGTCTTCCCTGTGCTTGACTGTCAGCCTCAGACGACAGACGACTGGAAAATTTGTAAGGAAAGGATATTAAGGGGGAGGAAGACTCCATTCCCACATCCTTTAATATGACCTGTTGTTTTTTTCTCTGATACTTCCTATGGGCATCCATCAGAGAGTGGATTCAGCTGAAATTGGGGGCTGTAAAAGTTAGTATTGGCATCTAAATAAAGCTTCAGATCTATCCATGGAGGGGGTTGCATCCTGGTTGGTTTAGGTTGTCTGATCCCATTCTTTATAGAAGAGGAACAGGAAAACTATGGTAATAGTGGCCATGGAGTTCCTTATCTACAGTTCACTTTTGGGTATAAGAAGAGGGCGTCTTCAAGGCATGTAAACTGAAGTGCTGTAACGTATCTTTGAAAATGTCAGGGGTAGACGGCTGAGACTGAATATACAGCTTGCCTGTCCTTCTTGAGCAATGCTTGTCCCTGCTTTGTACTTCAGGTGGCTGGGAAGCCCACTCAGTGAGGTGGTGATTGAGCCACATCTCAGGTTTCTATTTTGTTCTTTGCCCTACTAAGAAAATGTGGTAAAATAGGACTTTATCTTTGATAAATGTTCCTGGCATCTCTAAAGCCTAAAGCCTTATTGTGTTGTAAGTGAGGGCTTAAGTGATACAGCGTGGTTCTGCATCAGCTGGTGAATTCTGCAACAAGTTTTGCAGAAAGTGGAGCGCACGGGCATCCTGTCTTCCGTGCTCCAGCATGGATGCAACGAGTGAATGTGCTGTCATGCGTTAATGTGGAACGAGCAACCTGTGTATTTCAGGAGTGAAGGAACTATGTGTTCTCGTGGAACATTAATACTGTAAAAGGTAATATCTATAGTAGAAGAGAACCAACAATTGTTCCTGACAAACTGTCAATGTTTCTTTTAAAATTGAAAATGAACTTTGTAAAAATCTATTGTGGTGTTGCTGTGGCTTTGCTGCATTCCAGTGCGTAGGTAAACAGGACTTGATTCAAAATTTTCACGCTATGAGGATTTTAAAATACTGGACTGGGAGTAATTGATCTCAATGTTTAATCTGGGAGAGTAGTGAATTTTATTGTGTTTCTGAGTTCTGGTTTTTCAAGGTAAACATTGAAGCAAGCTTGTTATTCTGTGTTCTTTCCTGTGGGATATCACTTAACAGCTTTTGTTTGTTTTTAGAGGATTCAACAGTGAAAGGAAAACCTAGTGAGAGAAACAAAGAGAAAAAAGCAACCAGACCAGTGCGGAAAGTGCAAAAACTGACACGGTTGTCAAGTCCAGAGTCCAAACAAGGTGACTAGCTCTACTGTAGAGGGAAAACTGTTGCATGCCCTTCAGAGATGGGTTTTGTCTCAAGAAATAAAGAAAAATTAAAGTGTATTGCGTTCAGAGTCTTAGATGTGCAACAATGCTGCTGTTCTGTGTTTGTACTAGACTGCGCTGCACTGGGGACATGTGTGTTTTTGTTGTTGATTGGGTGGCTGTGTGCGCTTTTTTTGGTTTAATTTAATTTTCTACCTTTTCACTTGCTGTGTGTGCCTTATGGAAACAGCTGAAGAGTGTGTGTTTCTTGGGGCAGGGGGCAGGTGTCCTTGGGCATCTGTCAGGCCAACACAGACCAAAAGCAGCAATAGCTCAGTTCTGGGTCCCGCTTTCTGTTTTGCTTGTGTTGAAGCTGGTTAGTGCCTGACCTACCACTCAGTGAATAATGCTGAGAGGAGGAATGGAGGTGGTATTAAAATCACTGCCAGCGGGACTTGCTGACTTGTGAATCTGTGAGGAGGGGCTGCAGTGAAAGCTGTTCTCTTGTATGATTTCTCAATGGGGAAGAGAACAGGATGTCCTTCTGGCTCTTCTCTGGCTGTTGTTCTTCTACGCCCTGTGTCAAGTTGTTGCTGTCCTGCACCTTCAGGGCTTGACCCTTTCCTGGCTTTTTCAGTTAGTGGAAGAACACATTCCCTGACAAGTCTTGTCAATCTTGATATTTATAGAGGAATGTTTATTTCTTTTGCCAATTAAGAATTTTTTATTTTCGCTGTTGCCTAACATTTCCGCTGTCTAGTAAATAAAATTATTTAGAGAAGATGATGTGAGCAAGTTACTGTAGAGTAGTGCCTTATAGTAGAAAATGAAATTAACTACATGTGGAATTCTGTCAGTGCTTCTTAGTTTTCCAGTAATGTTAATCTTTGATATCGTGTGTAGCAAACAAATTAGGAAGACTTCCACATCTGCTTTGTGTTTGTTTTTAATTTTCTTACTAAGGAAATAGTTATGACTGCAATCGCACTACAGAGCAATTTTTTTTTCTTTAAATACATGAGAAGTTAGGCATGTCTTGCACCTTTTAAGGTTTTATATTTCTCCCTATGTACATTGACCCATAATTGGTAAACACTTGCTTTAAAAAATTATTACAAAGAGTTTTTCAGAGAGTGAATATATGCTTCTGCATGGTGTAAGTCATGAAGCTGCATGTGAATATTTTGCAGTAATGAATGCTGCTACTTAAAAGTAAGTGATAGGTATGGATTTGCTCCTTCCTGTGCTGATCAATTCATACTTGAGGAACTATACTAAACTAACTTCCATATTTGTGACAGTTCCAAGCGAGGGAGGAGCACATAAATTGCTGCAAGTTTTAATGACAATGGTTATTCTCCATAATGTATTAAATGTGAAGAGAATGATGGCCTGAAATCCCTAGAAGATAAGAACCAGATCTAAGTGGCGTATCCGTGATGGTCTGTCCTCCTCCAGTCACAGCAAAAAGAAACTACTTCACATAGCCGAGGCTATAAATAGCCACAGCTCATGTTCAGCTCCGTTAGCACGTTTTAGTTCAAACAGCTGACTTGAAATGGAAGATGAGACTTTACACTGCCTTTTTAAACACACACAGAAGTAATTGAGAACAGTGAGTTCGGCAAGACAACCCCTTTGGCTGATACCTCTGTTTCAGAGAGGCTTGTAGTGACATGTTTCAAGTGGCAGGTTTATAAAATACTTGGATAATTTTTTACAATGCAAGCAAGGACTACTGTTAGTAAATGAGTGAATAGTGGCTACAGACTTTAGACTGAACACATTGCCTCCTTCTTGTTTAAAATAACAAAAAGAAAGGAAAGGGGGCATGGGAATTCAGGACTGGGATTGCCAAAACACAATTGGTCTGCTGTCTTGGATTTCACTTGAAGTTGCTTTGGTACCAGGTCTTCCAAGTCCTGTTGGGCCCGGAGTACAAACCTTTATTTGTTTGACTGTGGTGTTTTCATGCTGCAGTGTCTGGGTTTGTTCAGGCGCTGCTGTCAGAGGTAGAACCTGAAATGTACTGGTTAGAAATCAACTGCAAATTGTGTATTCAAGTTAGGTACTTTTCTAGCAATAAAATATTGATAAATAGTCTGAATTAGGTTATTAATACTTCAATTTTTTTATATGCTGCTTTTCTGCAAAGTTCTTTAAGGTCATTATTTCAAAAATTATTAGTAACATTGGAAGTTAGTGGGATGAAACTTGAGTTGAATAAACCTAGCATTTAATCTAACCAATATTAGGTAAAGATGCCACTGTACCCAGTTTTTATCATTTAATTATATGTAGGATGATAAAATAATACTATATTACACGATACTACAATACAAATAACATTTTGCTTTGGTTTCTGTCACCTGCAATGTAGTGTGTTCTTGAATTAAGTATGAACCAAGAAGGTTTATCTTAACTATTTTCAGTCACGCTACAGAAATCACAGCTAGAGGACAGTGAGTTAGCATTGGCATAGAACAACTGCTGCTCAGTGTTTTTTAACCTCCTCACAAGACACCTATCTCGACCATTAATTATCTGTAAAAATATCCAAAGTGTCTTTTTTTCTAGAATATCAACTAATATTCTTTTAATATGAAGGTGAATCAGTTTTTATGTCCCACCTTTATTTTTGTTCTTCTTACTACACCATTTTAGATACTTTTATCTTTTTTTTCTTATTTAACTTATTTAAGTGGCAATGAAGAGCTGCTTCTCAGTCCTCTGCAAGTATTTCCCCTCTCCCCAGTAACATTTGCTTATATGGCTTAGGCCCATATAAGCCTTTTTTTCTTTTTTAAATCAATTTTTGTAGGGCTTTAGTGTGCCACAGTATGTTTTGGATTTTTACATCATGTTGTGTGTAGGCATGAAGCACTGGTAGTTGTGTGAGTCAGCTGTTGAGTGTCTTCATGGTACATCACTGTTACGACTGTTGTGTGTAGCTGCAGCTGTACCACTTATGCAGGACTAAATGGTATAGAAATGATTAATGGTTGCAATAAATACTTCTTGTTGATACGTTGGAAAATCCATCTAGTGCTTGACTTTTATTTATTACTTACTGTGCAGGTGGAAACTATGTCATAAGTGCATCCTCCTGGCGGGAGGGACAAAAGCTAGTAAAAAAGATACTGGGTCCAGCTCCCAGAATAGAACAAGACAGAAGAGCTGTATCTAGTGACAGAACAGGACGAGAGAGAGCTGTCAAGTCTGGTAAGTTGTACTTCTATGACAGGACTTTTTTAATTTTACTTGATTTATTACACAACACTGTATGTCTGTGGAATAAAGTAGGCTTCTGAGATAGAATGTAATCAGTTTCTTATTAAAATAACTCTTATTTTTAACCTGGGATTTGAGGGGGGAGAATTTTGCTCACATTTATGGTTGGGATGCATAACCTCTCTTCCTGGGTGGATTATGAACTTTGCTTGGTGTCATGGGAAGCCTGCCCTGCACATGTGACTTGAGGGGCAGTCCATGCTGTGAAGGTGCTCAGGAGCTCTGGAAAAGATGGGAAATAAGTTGCAACCAAAAACATGGATCACCTGCAGTCTGTCTTTGCTTCTTGAAGCTAATGGGGAAAGGAATGGCTAGCAATGGTCCACAGGCCAGATGGATTTTCCAGATGTGCTGCAGATAATACGTAAACAATGGTTGGGCATCCCTGTTTTACAGGAATTGTGGTTCTTTCCGGATGCTATATAACGTCATCCATGTGAATTATAAATCCTTATGGATTCCTCCACCATCCCTTTTCAGAATTTATCCAGAATCTCAGACAGGGCAAGTAAGGGACAGTGGGAGCTGCTGTGCTTCTTACGCCTGTGAAATAGTGAGGGTGGTAAGAGAGTATAAAGGGTGCAAGCTCAGTCTAAGCAAAGGTTGCTATATTCAGACTGAATGAAACAAAGAACACGTTTACAGTGAGATCTGCACTCCTCCCTCATGCTCGCTTTTGCAGCTGTTTCAGTGATGGCAGGTAATGTCCCAGATTTGTTTTTTAACTGAAATATTTAACAAGTTTTATTGTTTAGCAGGCTGCATTGGAAGGACGGGTTCAGATTCTAGACTGGATGTTACCCATAAAACCTCTTCAAGAAGTTCTGAAAGGTCAAGAAGTAAAGTACGGTCTGAGAATAATCTGAAGAAACTGGAAGCTGCTCTTCCAGATGATAACAGAGAAGATCATGCCTCTGTAAATAAGGACTTCCTGCCCATGGAGATACGTGGAATTCTTGATGACTTGCAGTTGGATTCCATGAGTACAAAGCAAGATAAAGATGTGGAAAAGCAGAATCAGAAATCTGTTTTGCTTACACAAAATGCCAGGAGCCACAGTCCAACCAAAAGGAAACCGGACAAGATAGCTGCCAGTGAGGAGCCTCAGGTGATCTCTAAGAAACGTCACTATGATACAGATGAGGTTCGTCAATACATCATTAGGCAGCAAGAGGAGAGGAAGAAGAAGCAGAATGAAGAGAAGAAAGCACAAAAGGAGGCAACAGAACAGAAGAACAAAAGGCTCCAAGAGCTCTACAGAAAGCAGAAGGAGGTTTTTACTAAAGTGAAGAATGTGCCTCCTCCTGAGCCTTCAGCAGCCAAACGGTTACAGGAAACCTATTCTAAACTACTGCTGGAACGTACGTTTTTAGAAGAGCCACCTCAGCTGCCTACAGTGCAGGAAACACAGGTATAGCTGATTCACTAACTTAATGTGTTGCAGTTGTTTGCAGGAATAGGAGGTCATACGTTTAGGAAGGTCATGACTTGTCCTGATCTAGTTATCAGTTTAATAAAAAGGATACAAGAAAACTGTAGCTTTTGCTTAAACATAGTAGGTTTGATCTGGAGCCTTCTTGCTAGTGGCTGCTTTCTGGCACAACCAGGCCTACTAGAAAGGTGAATGGAAATCATCTTCCTATGATAAATAGAAGGACAATTCTGGATACTAGCTAACAGCAGCTATACAGGTTGGCTCTTAAGAAAACTGTAAACATCAGCCAAACCGTGAATTGAAGAGCTTTGTCTGAAGTTGCTTTCAGTCAGTGAACAAACTTCATCAGTAGTGTGTTAAATAAGTTTGCTAACCAGAAACTGAATGTGAAAGAAGATTAATATATGGTAAAAGACTAACATCAATTTGATGCGTTTGGCTGAACTAGTTCAGTTTGTGAGCAAAGCTTTTTTCCCCCAGTACATTCTGCTGAAACAAAGCCATAGAAGTCCTGTGTTTTTAAGTCTTTGTGTGGTAGGAAAGATGCGATACTACACTGAGAAATGTAAGCCTTTTCAATTTTAATGAGACAAGAGCTTTTAAACTCCTGCAGACTTTTTGAAAATGCATTTTTCTGGTTGTCTTCATTTCTAGCCCAGACCTGGTTATCAACCATCTGGGGAATCTGACAAAGAAAACAAGGCTCAAGAGCGTCCTCCTAGTGCATCTTCAAGTAGTGACATGTCGCTTTCAGAACCACAGCAGCCGCTACTGAGGTGAGCCATTGTGGGCCTTTTGAGAGAGAGGAAAATACTCTAGTTTACATCTCTGAGAGGTGAAAATAGACTAGGCTCTTAAGTACATGTTCTAGCGTAATTGTCTTTATGGCAATTACAATGTTTCCTCGCAGTAAAGAGGAAGCTGATGCAGGAAAGCATATAAACATTCTGGCTGTGGGTATTTAATGAGTTTGTAAATAAATAAAGTGAATGGTGGTTGCTGTTAATCTTTTGCTGAACCAAGGGGATGTGCATTTCATATTGGGAGACTATATTTCCTCTGCCATTGCCATGGGGCAAAAGAAGTTGATCATCTGAATATGTCTGTTGATTTTTCATACTCTATTTGTTCAATGTTTTTATTTAATCTATTGTCTTGGATTCGGGCCTTTAGTTACTGTCTAAATTACCAAAAATCTCTGCTTCTGCTTGAAACTAGCCTTTCCCTATTTCCTTTCATGCTGCTTTTCCCATTTTTAATTGTTCAGTGTATTATCAAAGTTGTTTTTACTGTAAGTCAAGGTGCCTAACCAATTACTTAAATATAAGCAACAAAAAATCATAAAGTTGCATGTCCTTAATATTCCTGTGGTGCAAGTGTGTCTTAATTTTTTAATTACATAATGAGTGTCTGCTTCTTAAATATATACTTGCTTTGTTATCTGTACCTTAACTTGGTCAAATCCATGCTGACTTCGTGGATTTGATGAGACCTGTTTCCTTTCTAGAAAAGTTCAAGGAAGCACTAGGAATGCCCTGTAGTACTGTGTATAGAATAGGCTGCTAAACCTTACGGTAGTAAATATTGTTAGTGTAACATCTTAAGGAAAAACTGTACGTACTAATAGTAGGGGAGAGATGAGACTTAAAGGGCTGCATAAGTTATTTGGACAGCCTAGTACTAAGCAGAGAAGCATTTTTTTGTAAGGGACTTTCCAGGTTTCCTAGTATTCAGAATATGTACAAGTGATATTAGCAAAGGATAGTCTCTACAGAGCTCCTGTCATGCAAATGGGGGCTATCTGGAAATAAAGATGATGTCTTCCAGAACTATAAACATCCTGTATTTCCAGTCCTCCTGTTCTCTAAGTGTTGTTCATGCTCTGGTGAAATGTGGCCTGGGTTCAACTGGAGGGGGAAGGCTGGGGCTAAGAAATTCCAAGAAAACAAAAAAGGTGTTTCCTCCCTTTTGAAGTCAGGAAACTTCTGGAAAAAACCTTGCTCCTGCTTAAATGTTGACTCTTCATTTCAGGAGCGATTTGATGGAGCCTCCATGGGTACAGCCAGACAGGTTGAGCCCAAGAGTCCAGCTCTCTCACCCGCAAGCTCTCATGGGCTCAAGCGGAGGCCCTTGCTCCCAACACTGGAGTCTGGAGCAGATGGACCTTTTGTCAAAGGAGTGTGATGCAGTGTTGGCAGGCAGGAGGAGCCATGCTGCACCCATGGGATCGCTGACCTTGATGCCTCAGTCATACCTGAATTCACCCGCTGCACAGCAAAATCTCGTGGTAAAACCTACTGCTAACCAATATAAGAGCAAATTAGATCGGATTGAAGCTTTGAAAGCTACAGCTGCTTCCCTTTCTAGCAGGATTGAAAGCGAAGCCAAAAAGTTGGCTGGGGCTGGTATCAATTACGGTACCATGTGGAACTCAGACCATGAATTTTTGCAAGAAAACCAGGATGATGGGCGGTGGGCAAAGGCTGCAAGTCCTCCTGTGAGAGAGGAAAATGAAGATACTTTTTCGGTCAGAATTCAAAAGATGTTGGGTACCTGTGTGTCTCATACAGCCTTTGATGACAGCCTTCCTGGGGTCGGCAACCTTAGTGAATTTAAAAAGCTCCCTGAGACGATCAGGCCTCATACTGCTGCAGTGAGTCTTGGAATGAGGTCCCCTGCTGCTAACAGGCATGAGAGGGTACTAGGACATTTATCTAAGAGACAGATTGACTCCCCAGGGCGTGAAAACCACGCTTACACTCTGAACAAAGCTGTAATTCCTCATGAGTCCAGCATCGACTCCATCAGCGAAGGGCCTCTCCTGAGTGATGGATGCCTCTCTGAAGAGGAAGGAGGCCAGCACAAACAGTTGCCGCTGAAGATGCTGGAGACATTGAAAGAGAAGGATTTCTGCATTCGGGAGAGAAATGCTTTTGAGCCCATAAAGGAGTTTCAGAAAGAAGCTGAGAATTATTTGCCACTTTTCACTCAGACGAGTGGTGCACACAGCAAGGGCCCATGGGAGGAACTGGCAAAGGGAAGTCCCCACAGTGTCATCAACATCTTTGCAAAAAGTTATCAGCTTCATGGAAAAGGTAAAAATGGAAAAATTTCTCGAAGCTCTTGTGAATTACTGTTTTCCCAGTCTTGCTACTCCTTACACTTTTTACGTCACAGGTAAGGAATGGCTTTTACATGGCTCAAACATGAATCTGTGTAAGGCTTTCTCACTTTACTTTTGGATGATAAATTATTCCCCCCCCCTTCATTTCTTTTGCCACCTTGTCTAAGGAAAAAAATAATTTAAAAAACCCCCACACTGAAAGAAGATTATTTTTGCATTAGATTGCTCTATATTTCTAGATTGGACACTAATTCATATGCTGAGTTACATGTATTAAAGACACCCATAGTTACAGAATGTTGAATGTAAAGTTTATATTTATTGTATCCAGAATTGTATACTAAATCTAAATTGCCCAGAGTGCATTTGGAAATGATTCTCTCCACCATGGAGAAGCAACATGCTCTACATGAACCTGCTTTAGCAGCAGGGTTGGACTAGATGATCTCCCGAGGTCCCTTCCAACCCTTGCCATTCTGTGGTTCTGTGTGACCCTCTGAATTGGAACGTGCATCCTCCTACTATATATGCACTCCAGATCTTCTGTAATAATGCATCATTCCTGTTTCAGTTAAGGTAGAAAGATTAAATGCATGCTTTAAAAGCACTTACTTTGTGGCATAAATGTGAGTGCTTGCATATATTCTGAGATCTTGCTATGTAAGAATAATATACCTTTGCTATATTATTAGAAACACGTAACTTCAGTGGATCAATGATGTGGACTTCACTTTTGCATCCTTGATCATATGAGTTATTTCATAATGTCCCAAAGTAGTGTGACAATTAAAACTCCAGTAACAATATTGAATTTTGAGACAGTAAAGTTTTGGTATATCAGTAGGGAGAGGCTCTTACTTAAACGAGCCCATTTCAAGAATTAGTGTCTTAGGGCATACTTTACAAGTCTCTCATGCAGGGTGCTTCACTTGATTTTCTTTTTTTTGTACAAATTTATTCTTGATTTTGAGTACTGTTTCTCTTGCCTTAGAGGTCCTTATTTTGAGGAGGAATGTTTTCTGAGAAGTTGATTTTTATCTTGTGATTTTTCTTGATTCTTTTTTCCTCTCATTTTATTTCCCTTAAAGATGATTGCATTTAAATTTTCTGCAGATGGCTCTACTCTCAAGCACTGTGCTCTTCAAGAATGTTTTAGCTGGACTGTGTTAATGAAGTAGAGTATTCAATAATTTGCAAAAAGAGGAAGACCGTGCTTGTTATGGTGTGTTAAAACTGCTGTGGGATGGCCTTTGTTGTGGTTTAACCCAGCAGGCAGCTGCACCACACAGCCACTCGCTCACTTCCCCCCTCCCCAGTGGGATGGGAGAGAGAATCAGAAAAAAAAGTAAAACCTGTGGGTTGAGATAAAGACAGTTTAATGAAACAGCAGAGGAAAAGAATAATAACAAAGATAATAGTATATCAAAACAAGTGATGCACAATGCAATTGCTCACCACCAATGAGTGATGCCTAGCCCGTTCCTGAGCCGTGATCACCGCCCCCTGGCCAACTCCCCCCAGTTTATGTACTGAGCATGACATCATATGGTATGGAATAGCCCTTTGGGCAGTTGGGGTCAGCTGTCCTGGTTGTGCCCCCTCCCAACTTCTTGTGCACCTGGTAGAGCAGGGGAAGCTGGAAAGTCCTTGACTGGCGTTAAGCACTGCTTAGTAACAACTAAAACATCAGTGAGTTATCAACATTCTTCTCATACTAAATCCAAAACACAGCACTATGCCAGCTACTAGGAAGAAAATTAACTCTATCCCATCCAAAACCAGGACAATTATGTAATTTCAGTCATTTTAAACCCATACTATACCCAACCCAACACTGTACTTGTTTTCCTGATGTTTTTGTGTTTGAAAGAAAGTCTTTGTAACTCATGGTTGGGAGCATTTTAATTCCTGCAGCTTCATTACCTGTTTGATGCATGTTTGTGTTTGGTATAATTTTTGGTTTTTCCCTTCTTTGTCCACACTTTAGCGTTCGATGAAAGGTCAAATGGAGGGTCTGCCCTCCTGCGCCCTTTACTCCCTGCCATGAGCCCTCCAGAGAGTGTGGTTTCTTATGAAGATGATTTTGCCTCGTCACAGGGAAGTAGCACGTTAACAGACAAAAAGATTGCACGTGACCTCAGGTAACTGTGCTAGCCTTCTTGTAAAAATCAAATGCAGAATTCAGCAGAAAATAGTTAATGCAAAATTTGTTTCATAATATGCTGGATATCTTTTCTGTTATGATGTAATACTAGTCAAAGTGATGAGTTATTTCCTTAGGACCTTGCAGTTAATATAGCAACAGCATGGTTAAGACACAAAGATTAGAGTCAAGTATTCTTGTTCTCTGTCTAATTTTTGTCTAATTTTTGTTCTTTAGACAAGGTTCTTACCCTTTGTAGTCAAGTGAAAATTAGTTCTCCAACTTGTGTGGTTGCTATAAGGCTCAGTTGGTTAGTCTTTGTAATTTAGAAAAGAAGAAAAGATATTTTAAAGTGTTACAATACCTTTAGTACTTCAAAATTTTGTAAAAAGTCTATACTTGCTTTCAGTAAGGGTTTGGTAATGCTTAGTAATGGATACATAAATTGTCTGTAAGAACTTTTAAAACCTTTTGTTCAGACTAAAATTTGAAGACTCTAAATCCTAGAATCTCCATGTTACTGCTGAATTCACATGGCTTCCTGAATTTCCTGAGACCCCTTTTTTTTTTTTGTAATGAGATATATTTACATCTTTTGGGTACCTTGGGACAGGCCACAAATACTGTGTTTATACTGGTGATACTTTACTTCAGAAGAAAGGAATGTAAAAGGTACTTTGTGTGCTGAAAATGTTGGCTGCAAAAAATGGTTTCTTTCTGATTAAACTTGTTGATAGGTCTTCTGTTGGTATTATTTAGTATATGATGTATTATCCCCTTATTTGCAGATCTTTTTTAATCCTGTATTGAAAAACGCTCATATTTCTGTCAATGTACTGATGATATCTGTATGCCCAGAGATTATCTAAAATGTAGTCATATTTGAAGTCATTCTTATATTGTTCAAGTCTGTAGTCAGATAGCTCTTAACAGTTAGCGTTGGAAAAGATGGTTGTTAACCACTTTTTACTGTTTCATATTATTGGAAGTATGTTTCAATATGTTCAGTATCATGTCAAACTTCCTAATGTTTTAGCTGTCATAGTTTTTAATCTCAAAATCAGTCCTTTTCAAGATGGGCTAATTAGTGCAGTTTTAGCCATCTGTCTCTAACTTAGTGTGGTGGATTTCTTGTGCACAATGTAATGGGGGAGTTGGAAGTCCTTAGTTAAGCACTGTCAATGTGCTCCTTTTTAGTGTTGCTGGCAGCAGTAATTCGAGCATTCAGGAAGAAATTCCTAGTAGGAAGTCTCCCCATGAACCTCGATCTGTAGAGCTTGCTTCTCAGCATTCATCTGGACCACGGTCTGCAGCGTCTTCTCGCTCATCTGCTTCCTCTAAAAAGAGAGGGAAAAAAGAACGTAAGTGCAGTATTTGACTGTAGACTACTTTTTTGAAGGAGATTTGAGGGTTTTCTTGTTAGGAAAATTGCAGTCTTTCTGTGTATCTGACAACTGTAATCTAATACTGATAGGATGATTTATTTATTCCTCTGGTAATTCCTCCTTAAATTCTTTTTGACTCTGATTATTCTTTGACGTTAAAATACAGTTCTCTAAAATTAAATAAGCAAGAGGTGGTTAACAGCATTGAAAACTTTTCCTTTCCTAAACCAGCCTTCTAACAAATTAGTTAATTTTAACGTTGTGTGGGAACTATCGTCAGATTCTGTACTGAGGGAATTCCGATAGGCTGCTGAGAAATAAGAGTTATGGCTGCATTCATGAAGGCGACAAGAAGTTTGCCTGTATGCTTCATCTTTGGATCACAGGCAGTTTTCGTAAGTGCACAAACTAATAAATACAATTCTTCCTGCAGTAACTTGTACATTACAAAAACATGAAGAAACCTGAGATTTGGTACACTCTTACTATATAAGCAATGGATAACATAAGGTAAAGATAGGTTTAAAGCCAATAAAAGGATGAGAAAAATAAGATCAGGTGTTCCAAATGATCTCTTTTCCTATTTTTTCAAAATTCTCTACCTTACCCAAAGAAAGCTAGGCTTTATTATAATTATCAGTATTGAAGAATCAAATGCATTTTTTCTTTATTAAAACTGATAGTGTGCTGAAATGAAAGCCGAGTGACAGTTTTGTTGATGGTGGGCACAACATGCAGAAGAGAACTTAATCTCCTTAGGAAGCTGCCAAATTTACATTTCTTGCTTGTTGGATATAGACTTCTAACTCAAAGACGTCTTTAATTGGGGAAAAAAGTTCTCAATTATTTGTTTTGGGGCTCCTGATAGCTAAGATAGTCATACCAAACATAAACTTTTCACAATGTTGTTGCTTCTTAGGGTTGGACTCTTTCAACGGAAGTTCTCACCACTTTCCTGTGGAAGAAGATAAAATGCTATCTGAATTAGAGTGGGGATCCCAACAGGCAAAGAAGTCCTTATCGAGTAGCAGAGTTTCTAATAAAGATCATGAGCAGAACCCAGATACAGACAGCACACTGGAAAACTTGTCTGGACACTCCCTGATGAGGTAACACAAACACATGGTACAAATATAACAGATATAATTAAGCTTGGTAGTGTTATGGCATGTTATCAAAAATGGCTATGTCTTTGGATATGCAAAAGGAAAGTAACAGAAATGATCAAGTAGTAAGATGCGCATGCAGAAAACATTTTTTCCTTGTATTTTAAATATGAAAGCCTGAAGTAAATGGCTGTAGCAAGAGGAAATAGAAAACAGTGATTCTGCCCCAGATGACCCCTCTGTTTTTTTAAGGATAACTGACCATCCTGTCAGGTTCAGTACCTTAAGCGTTGAAATACAATTTCTATTTTCTATTTCTACAAATGGTCTGTAAGAACTGGAGGGGGGAAAAAAAAAAGCTAGTCAACCCATGTGGTTGTCATGCTCTTCTCAGCAGGATCCACAGACATTTTTGGCTAGACTTGTGTGCAGCTAATACTCATAAGCCTATCCAACTCTGTGAGGTGATGCTTTTTCGGAGATGAACTGCACCTCAGAAAAGAGTGTAGAGAAAGAAAAATATTTTTTCCTGTTGGATCCTCTATATCTACCTATGAATGCAGTTTATTTTCTGTTAATTGTGCAATGAAGACGGTTATGAAATACACTGAGCTTAGTTTTCACTGTACTTTTTTCTAAAAAGCAACAAATAATATGAATGATCTTTTACTCATCCTGTGTGGGTATAGAATGGTTCTGAGGTACTGACTTATACCGGTGACTTTCACTGATATCCAGTATTGGATTTGAAAAGTCCTATGACCTCCTAAGATGTGCCAAGTAAAGCAGAATGTTTTCCTAGGGATTTAAGCAGCCACTGTAAATCCTTTTTGGCTTAATGAAATTGGAATAGTAAATTTAAGAAGTGTCTGCATCATTTTCTGTATGTTTAAAAAAAGAAGAGATGTCTAATTTCCTCTTAAGAAGTGTTACTATAGTATTTTACTTACTAACTGTTTAAGTCAAGTTTTGGCCTTCCAGCATTTAATTGCATTTTAATGAAAGAGATTGAGACTCAGGGCAGTGGCTTATCACATTCAGTTGCATTCATATGCTGATAGTAACCTGTTTACTTTTTAAAAATACTGTTCATCTTATTCTGATATCAAAATATTGCCCTAATTTCCTGTGAATATAACAAAATTCTTCACTCAGAGTGCAGGTGAGTGCATCCTGACTTTCTCGTGTCAGGTTCTTAACAGGAGACATTGAAACTGCTTGTCTGGCCATGTAGAATATGCAGATACTATGTGAATTTCTTTGTGTGTGTGTGTGTTCTAACTAGATTTGATACGCGGGGGGAAAAAATGGGTGCTCTAGAAACTTAACCCAAAACTGGGATGTAGGTACAAAACCCATCTCATGAGTCTTTCCTAAAGGCAGACTGGGCCTGTGCAAACCGTAGACTGTGCCTTTTGCATGGATCTGTTTGGTGTGTATATAAAGGAAAAGAACTAGGTTATTGCTTTATTGTCTTACCAAATGGCTGGACTTAGGAAAATATTGACTCCTTTCTTTTTTCGTTTTACTGTCAGTTTCTCAGACAAGGGAAGATCCCAGAAGACGCCGACCTCTTCCCCATCTCCTGGTTCCCAAAAAAAGTTGCAGTTTGATTCCATAGGCAATTCAGCAGAAAGAGTCAAGTCACCTGCTGGCTTTTCTGGAAGTACAGCATCAGGGCTGAAGCCTAGCATAGCCTTCCCCGACTTGAGTCTGGGAACTAGTAGATCTGTAGCAGCAGCAGCCTCAGCAAGTGGTGAGTTCTTTTGTTAAAACCATACTCATCCCAGAGCAGTGTTTTGGGGTGTGTGTGTGTCTTAATTTTTTTGATATGGGGCACTAAAGTCTATGAAGGCTGACTAGTAAGTCTTATCCTGCAGGATGTATGCGCTTCTCCCCTGCTGGTCTTCAGCATCGTTTAGCAGCAGAGTTGAACTACCTTAGTGCCATTGAGGAGTCTGTGCGACAACTTTCAGATGTAGAACGAGTACGAGGTATATCACTTGCCCAGCAGGAGAGTGTTTCTTTGGCTCAGATTCTAAAGGTAATAGAAAAATATTTCCTTGTCTTAACCTTCCTTTTTTTTTTTATTTTGCAAGAAAATTAGTCAAGTTAGGGTGAGTTATGCTTTTGTTAGCAATGCAGAGAAATTATAGTGGGCATGGTGGAGCATGTCTGATAACAGACATTAATCCTAAAAAACTGACATTATCTAAGTTGACACCAAGGAACCGGTGGCTCTAGAATATGTCATTAATATACCATTAATTGGAATCACTGCTTTGGTTGTGTACTTCAGTAAAATAAAAACTTGATTGTTTACTGGGTTTGATGTTGGGTCCCAGTGCCATGCAGTGTAGTTCAGGCTGGATCTCTTGTCTTACTCCTTGAAAAGGATATCTTTCATTGAAATTTCTTTATGCTGACAAGATTGCTTGTCCTAGTTTGTTGAATTAATTGTTCTTCTAAATCCTCTTTCTACACTGTGGTGGAAGAGTATGGAAAATGTGCATTGTCTACTGTCTACTTAAAAAGGGAGAGGGTCAGTTGGTAGGCTGAAAATTTTACTTCAGCAGAAGAGGCACTAACAGTAGTAGATCTAGATCTTTAAGAGGTAGCTGCAGCCAATGGCTAAGGCAAAAAAGGATTTTACGTTCAACTTGCGTGATTAAAACCTGTTTTCCTAACCTGTAGGCACAGCAGCAGCGCCATGAACGGGACTTAGCTCTTTTGAAAATCAAGGCCGAACAAGAAGCTTTAGAAAGTCAGAGACAACTGGACGAGGCAAGGCAGAAGGCAGCTCAGGTAATGCTGCCCTTCAAAAAATGTGGAGTGTGTAAGAGGCAAAATGCTGTAAGTAAATCCATGCCTACCAGTATTCTTAATTTGAAGCTGTGAGCATATGGAAATGGTGAAGGGGTTTAATACAGCTGAAAAAAGCTCTTGGGGTCAATTTCAAACTTTCTTCCCCAAGATTTTGAGAAATAAAACCGTACTTCTTATAGCCAGAAAATTCTGAAGAGCTGAACTGGCTGTGTTTTCTGTGTAGGTCCATGCAGAGTCACTGCAGCATCTAGTCCAGTCACGGCAGGAGGTTGTACAAGAGACCCCATGCAAGGCTGCAGCCAAGCAGGTGGAAACTGCACTTCTCACTACAGATGCAGCTCACCAGATTCATGAGGTGAGGTTCTGAGTGAAAGGAAAAAAACTGGACTAATTTCAGTATTATTTTGAATATTTTCCTGCCTCTAGGTTATTCTCTGTTCACTGTCATTCTGAGTACAACTTCTTCACCTTCATAACGTGACCAATGATAGGACTTTAAAGTAGCTTTTCTGGCATCGTCACTTAGAAGTCAGTTGGCAGCCTTAAATCCCTGTTCACTATTCTTATGATCTTCCCGTTAACAAACTATTCAGAAGTTTTTGTTCTTTCAGGGTAGATTGATGATGGTGAACACAACATCTTTCATTTATTAGTTACATTTCATCAGGGATTGATCCTGTATCTGTTTCATACGCAAATTAATTTAGAAAAGCAGGGACATTGCAATTTTGCTTACTTTTGAAGGTGAGACACCAACAATTAAAATAAAGTTTTAAAAAAGGAGCAGGGGGAGAATCTTCAGCAGAGCTTTTAACTTGGTACAGAGTCTGAAGTTTTCTTTCTCTGAGTCTCTTTTCATTCTTATTGTAGCATACAGAATTTTTATCAGTTCCTCAGATTTTATACTTTTTGTTCCCAACATGTAGCAGCAGTTTCACACGTAGGTAAGAAACATGGTAACCAAAAAATGCTTTTGCTTCTTCACAGTTTAGCAATTGTAGTGACAACTGTGGATTAGGGTTATGGGTTGGAGTCCAGAAGGCTGATGAGTATGAACATAACTTCCTTCACAGCTTATGCACGTGTTGGTGCTCAGTAAGGCTCTTTTTACGATGGGTAAAGGGACTGTAAAATAATACTGTATACTTGTTCTGGGCTTTTCCAAATATGTGAAATGTAAATAATCTTTGAACAGACAAGAATGGGTTAGGTTAAATGAGCAGAAAAGCTCAGGCATCTGAGATACATGCAGTGTTGTTGATAGTGGGTAGTGAAGTCTTGGGTAAAGACAGAGACATTTGTAGTTTATGGAGCCAAAGTGGGTGGAAACCAATTAAGAAACAAGGTAGAAGAAACAGAGGCAGCTTTTGTTTGGTGTAGGGTTTTAATCTCTTGTCTTGCTTTAAGTTTGAAATCCAAGAGTAAGAGGTGTTAGTGGAGAGGTTGATGGGGGTGATTGATCATCCTCATCAGAGATGATGGGCTAGCAGAGTAGCTTTTCCATTCATGTTCATAATACTCAGCTGAACAACCATGTATTTTAACTGGAATGCAGCATTGGAGATGCTGGTCGCCAATGCGCTGGGAATATTTTTGGATGTACACTGTAATTTTTTCTGTGTAAACAAATGGAGTTAATTCTGCATTGCTTTAAATTAGAAGTTTATCTTATGCAAAAGAGATAAAATAGCATGCTTTGCTTAGAGCAAGTTTGCTTAGAGTTGACTGTCATGCTAATGAAAGATAAAACAGTGGGTGATGTATACAGGCAATCCAACTAAAAAGAAATAGTTTACTTGTTTCTATAAAATTTGTATACGTTAATTGAAGAATTAATGAAGAAACCTCAGTATGTGTATTGGAAGTGATTGAAATACAGCTTATTCCTACCTTCAAAACCAACCGGAGTTCCTTGCTCTGCAAGAGGCAGACCTTTGAACAAGAAGAAAAATATTGAATTTTAAAGCATCTAAAACCCAGCATTATCTGCTTTGATTTCTGAAGAAGTTCCTATTTCTAGTCAGGTACACAGTGCCTGCTATACATTAAAAAGGATAATTCATGGCTATCTGTTGATTTAATGCTCCCAACTTTAGACCTGGCATTTTGCATGATATTGGAACTTAAAGCTGTTGTTTCCTTTGGATGGAAAGAATATTTCTTGCTCTTTGGGCAAGATGCACTTTCAAGTAAAAAAGAAAACATTGTTTCTAGCGTTTGTGGGTTTTGGTTTGTCTGGGGTTTTTTTAATTAATTATAATGGTATGTCTGGAATGTTTTATTATGTGGGGATCATTCATTGGTTAAGGTGATTAGAATTACCTAAGTAGTATCTTGCATGTCTGTAGTTTCATATCAATAATTCCACTCTGCATAAATTAAAGAATATGTATTTACAGAGCAATATGCACCTCCTACAACCAAAATTGACACGTATGTAATTATAAACTATCTCAAAACCATCTAACACATTTGTTCAATAAATCAGTAAATTGCCTGTGAGGGTGCCTATTTTCTCTTTCAAAAACATTTTGATGCTGATAAGCACATTGTATTCCTTTGGGTTTTATTGTACTCAGATGACAGAGTTAGCACGAACCCAGATCTCGGATACTGTCAGTGCTCCAGCTGCTCCAGTCACCACCTTGTTTGACCACCAGCGGCAGCATCATTCAGAGTTCATGAAACAACTGAGAGCCCGAAGTGATACAACCAGGTTTTGCCTAATGTTTCACATCTTGGGAAGGGGGAAGTAAGATTTGTTAGGCTTTGCTTCACCTATTCTTGGAGAAAACTTTACGATGACATAATGAGTGAGCATTTAAGAAGAATTCAGATTCCACCTTTATGCCCTTAATAGTGTATGCCAAAGGTGACATTAACTGGTTCTGTAAAGCTTTATATAAAAGAGTAGAAAAAGGTGGTCTAAATGTTTTGTGGGATGATTTAACTAGTCTAAGTCTTAAGTGTTCTTTTCAGAAATTTTAGCTGTTACTACTTCTAGTAAACTGATGAAAGCTTGTGAAACTGTATTACTCTTTGGTTTAAGGCAATGTAGATTTATTCAAAACACTTCTCTTTCTCAGGAAATGTGAGTCTGGTGCCATATCACAAGGTAAAGACGAGACAGGTGACTCAAAACAGATATACTCACCGATGTTTGATAGTTATTCAGAGTCCTCAAGATCAAAGGTTCATGATCAGAGGTAAGAAGAGTTTAGATTACACAGGGGTTTTTTTTCCTATAAATAAGACCTAAAATAGAAAGGAATATCAAGATATTTCCTTCAATCTTTTTTAAAAAGCGGGAAAGTCAGTATTAAACCTTCAACAGGTAAACCTGTCTTATATTCCAGAGCTTGAAGGTTTACATGCCTGCCAGAATTTGCTTTGTCTTTCATTAAAAATCCTACTACACTGCGGTCCACAGTGTAATAGTATGTTGTGTGTTAATATAATCAGTTTTGAATTTTCTGTATTTGTTCTAATTGGACACCTCTCTCTTTCATGTCTTAAGAATAATTGAGTTCCGTGTCTGCTTTCTCATTCAGCTGAATTAGCAAGAGTCTAGAAGGCACGTAAGGGGAAATAGTTATTCCTCTCTGTTCAGCTCTTGTGAGACTGTAGCTGGAATACAGTCTCCAGTTTTGGGCTCCTTGATAAAGAGAATACATTAACATAGACACAAGTCTAGTGGTGAGCCACCAAGATGGTTAGGAGGCTGGAGTACATGATGTTAAAGAGAGGGTGAAGGAACTGAGCTAACTTAACCTAGAAAAGAGGAGGCTAAGGGAGCAGGGATCTAGTTGCACTACCTTAAAGGCGGGTTGTTAGGTAACATAAGGCTAGACTCTTCTTGGAGGTGCACAATGAGAGGACAAAAGGCAATAGTGACAGATTGCAGGAAGGGGAAAACCATTGGGGAAAAAAAAGTGCTCCTTGTGAGAGTGATCAAACACTGGAATGGGGGTGTAGAGAGGTTGTAGGATCCTCTGCCCTTGCAGGTGTTCAGAACGTGGATGTGGCCTTGGCCTCGACTTTGGTTGGGTGAAACACCTTCAGAAACTGTTGAGCTGCGATTATTTTGATTTCTGTGCTGTGGCCTACTTGCATACTTCTATTGTGCCACCTTTGTTACCTAAGAGTTACTTTAAGTCTCTGTTTATCTGAGTCTTTTTCCCCATTCTAAATATTTGCATTTTGTGCCCTTCTCATTTTGCCTGTGTCTTTTTGAAATGAACTAGAACATAGACTGGAGCATATGCTCTGGAAACACAGTGCAGAGACCTGTAGAACTGCCTACTTTGTAATGTGAATTACTTTCTATTCTGTTCTGTGTACCTGGCCATTTTGTTAGGGTTGGGGGTTTTGGGGTTGGGTTCCCCCCTCCCCCCCCTCCACTGCTGCTTTGCACTGGCTTGAGATTTTACATGAAGTGCCTGGAGTGTTGCTTGCCTAAGATTTAGGTTCAACTAATTTCTGGTGTTACTTTTTAGTATCTTGCCTGTGTTTAATACTGGATTTTAGCTTTTTGTTTCCTGTTCATTTACCTGATCTAGTTAGGTCCCATGAAGTTTCTCACAGCCCTTCTCTGGTCTTGACCAACTGGAATGATTTTGTCCTCTGTAGTTCTTTTAAATTAAAACAGTATTGATATCTTGTTCATCCTTTTAAAAACTGTAAGGAGAGATGTTTGCAATGGTTTATCATCAATATTCATTGCCAGGTAGGGGGTGTGCATACCTACAACCAACTTGTGTTCTAAGGTAGAATAAAAATAACAAGTTCAGCTGTCAGTCAGCAGCTTGATAAAGCTTGGAATTTTAAAGTATCCAAGCTGCATTTTAAAACCAAAACAAACCCTCTTTGTGTCGATTATTGCTGGGATGTTAGTCATGGTATGTACAGTATTGATGTAATATAAATATTTTGAAATGTGCAAAGTAATTTTAAAAAAAAATTCTCTCTTGATAACACAGTAGTACCAGCAGCCGCCAAGAGAGTCCTTCAGTTCCATCTTCTAAGGAGAATGAGAAAAAGCTTTCCCGTCGTGAAAAGACAACTAGTAGTATTGAAGAGCAGGCTCATACTGGTGTGGATGATTCCTTGCCGAGTGATAGTATTTTATCACTGCCAGACGAAAAAGGTTAGCTGTATTGTTTGTATGTGATGAATCTGAAGGTGGTAAGGGGGGAGGGAGGTGCTGTTTCAGAATTAGTTTCTGAAACAAATGAGGGAATATGTGTGAAGAGATCTGAGCCCCAGGTGAATTGGTAGCCTCTTAAGAGGTAACAGAGGATGGCACAGTGAGATGGCAGCCTTTTAAATTCTGCGCATCAGAGTGATGGATTCTGTGGGCCATTTAACTTACTGCTGTAGCTGGGTGCTCACTGGCTGAATATGCAGGCTGAGCACCAAATGTTTCAGCAGCCCTAGTATACCTATGTACAGAAGTCTATTAGGTCTTTTTAAGCTAGACAACAGTATTTCATGGCCTAATTCAAGGTCACTTTTTTCTAAACACCCATTTTTCTACATTAAACTAGTTATCTCCCTGTCTTTCCTGCCCCCCCTAACTTTACTGAGATGAGACAGAGTAAAACTGCCTTCATGGTAGATACCTGAGCATAAAACCACTTCCCTGATTTCTTCCTCAGATTCTGCTTCTGTTGCGACAGAGTATTCTCTGAAATTTGATGAATCCATGACAGAGGATGAGATTGAGGAAAAGTCTTTTCGGTCTTTGCTGCCCTCTGAGAGTCATCGCAGAAATAACTTGGAGAAGAAAAGGGGTAATCGTGATGATTCTGATGAGGAAGTCTCCCCAGAAAAAACAGCTCTGTCATCTATCAAGGTACGTCAAGCAACCATAGTTAAGGTAAATTAACTGACCCGACATGGTTAAGCTGATGAGCATCAAGTGAGCCATTCTTAGTCGTGTTCGCAAACTTTAGGGTTCTTTTCCTCCCTGTGGTTCCTTGAGCATCTCAAAACAGTTGTATGAATTATGCTGTGTGTCACTGTTGTACAAATGCAATGTCTTTACTTATGGAACAGTCCATCCAGGTCTCTACCTGTTCTCTTGTAGCTTTGGAGAAGAGGAGTGACTTTTTGAAGCAGGTTATAAAAGCCCAGTGGATTAAATCTTCCTACTATGCCTACACACAGCTAGGAGGTACAAGAGGATGTTTCATCTCTCTGGCACAGGAGGGGACATCCCAAAACTGTCACACAGCCTGGGGCAGAAAAAGCTGATCTGCACAAAATTCAGAGAGAAAATACAGCTTCCCTTCTTACATCTGTTTTTGTATGTGTGTGTATCTCTATCTACACACACACACACTGCAACTGAAAAAAGCCTTGGAATTTCTGTATTATCAAATGATGCCAAATTTGTCCTGTATTCCAGGAGCTAAGCATGCCATTCTCAGGAGGGCAAGATAGTTTCTCTAAATTCACCATGGAGATGGTAAGACAGTACATGAAAGAGGAAGAAATGCGAGCAGCTCATCAGTCCTCACTGCTTCGGCTCCGGGAGAAGGCTCTGAAAGAGAAGACCAAGGCTGAATTAGCTTGGCTGGAACACCAAAAGAAGTAAGGCAGCTCCGAATATACTGTGGCTGACTGACCATTTTCTTGTACTTCTACTTGATTATTTTTTTTATAGGACTTTGCTTCCACCCCACCCCTCCCTTATTAAGTATCAATGGTTGAACTGGTCTTCTGACATCAGTAATCTATACAAATGTCATTGTCACTTGGAAAGAACAGAACCCAGTTTGTAAGTGTGCTTTGCTCTTTACATTGAATGTGGTTTGATGAAAGAGAATTTCATTGAACAGTAGAACATCAGATGTTTGTTATCAGTCAGAGAAGGTAGTTCCCAACCATTACTCTACAAATCTTAATTCAAGAATGTGTAAAACTATCAAACAGTTAGAACTTTATTTCCTTGATGTCTATCTGAGGTCATTTTAGTTGACTCAGGTAAAATTTTGTGAATCTGGATAAGTGTTGTCCTTAATGATTTGTTTCCACCTAACATTTGCTTTGTCCTGGAATGCCTCTTGAAGTACCTAGTGATACTACTAACCAGTGGTGGCCAGATTTAATCAATAATACTTTTCCATGGTCACTCTCTGCACGAGAGTACCATTGTTCACCAGACGTTTTCTTCCAACTGTTTATCATTGCAGGGTTGATAAAGGATTGCGAGGTAGTGACCCAAGTGTCCTTTTTTTAATCTTTCTCAAGCGGTGAGCATGCTACCTCTGCAGAACTTCTGCCCGTTTGTGTGAGACTTTGTATTCTGGTACTGGCCTTTTAACTGTGCGTGTCTTTGACTAAACAGTACAAAACACTCCACTATAGAGAATGCCAGTGACTAAGTACAGGCATATACTCTTCTGCAGGTTAGGAAAAGTAAACCTTTTTTTTATTATTACTTTAAAGAATAAAAGGCTTGTTGTTTTACACTTTTTTTCTTAATCCTTTCTCCCAATCTGTTTGCAGGCATTTGCGAGACAAGGGAGAGGATGATAAAATGCCTCCTATTCGAAAGAGGCAGCGTGGTCTGCTGTTGAGATTACAGCAGGAAAAGGTAACTGATGCCCTCCGGGAGAATCCTGTTGAAACCCCTGTGTAGCCATTAAATATTTCAGACACTGTAAAAGCTAAGAATCGAGAAAACTCTATACCAGGCTTTTGGATAGGAAGCTAGCAGTATTTCTTGCCACTAAGTTCTGTTTGCATTTTGGAGGTATTTAACACATGGTTTGAAAGGGTCCTTCTGTGTCAGTAATCTCACTGGTCGGGACTTAGATGTATTAATTGATTTTCTGTCCTTTGCTGCTGATATTCAGGCTAGTTACTTCATTGTTGTGGTTTAACCCGGCAGGCAGGCAGCTAGACACCACACAGTTGCTTGCTCACTCCCCCCCCGCCCCCGTGGAATGGGGGAGAGAATCAGGGAAAAAAAGTAAAACCCATGGGTTGAGATAAAGATAGTTTAGTGAAACAGTAGAGGAAAACAATAATAATGATAGTAAGAGAATATATGGAACGTACAAAACAAGTGATACACATTGCAATCAGTCACCACCCACTGACTGAATGCCCAGCCCGTCCCCAGCCAGCCAGCTCCCCCCACTATATATACTGAGCATGATGTCATATGGTATGGAATAGCCTTTTGGCCAGTTGGGGTCCGCTGTCCTGGTTGTGCCCCCTCCCAGCTTCTTTGCCCCTGGCAGAGCAGGGGAAGCTGAAAAGTCCTTGACTGGTGTTAAGCACTGCTTAGCAACAACTAAAACATCAGTGAGTTATCAACATTCTTCTCATCCTAAATCCAAAACACTATGCCAGCTACTAGGAAGAAAATTAACTCTATCCCATCCAAAACCAGGACAGTCATGTAATTTCAGTCATTTTAAACCCATAGTGTGGACACTGTGGCAGCTTTAGAATGTGTTCTTGAGAGCTGTCTGTCACGGTTCTTATGCCTAATCTTTTATATCTAAAAGGCAGAAATTAAGCGTCTTCAAGAGGCTAACAAGGCTGCTCGGAAGGAGAGACAACTGATCCTTAAACAGCAGGCAGAAATAGAAAGAATCCGTCAGACTACAATGAAACTGCAGGAAAAACTAAAGTCTGCAGGAGAAAACAAGCTGGTAAGTGCTCACTACAGAAGCTGGAGTCTTCCCTCTTTGGCCATGGAGCTGGTATTTGACTTCAGTGTTTATAGGAATGGAAGCTACTAAATTAGACCCATCACTTGGAAATTTTGTCTGCCTCAGATGGTCTCATCCTCTTTATCTCAGCAATTTATCTTTAATTTCTTTAAAGCATTATTTAAGGAAATGCATTTGGAGAAGTTATAAAATGTTTTGTTTTATCTGGGCAGTAGATGGTGATTGATAATTCTCAAGCTTAACTAATGACTTTGGGAATATCAGGTTTTTGATGCCTAGATCTCTCAGGCCCTGATTTTGTTTGACTATTTGTCAGACCCCAAAAGAACTAAATGTAAGTGCTAAACCCCAAACTTGCTGCTTTGTGTGTGCATTAGTATCATTACAGTTTCTTGCATCTGCTTTATGAGATAGCAAGATAGGATTTTGATAACTGTTTGCCTCCTTATAAAATTTGGAGGAGACAGAAGTTTAATAATAGTAGTATAGAAAGGATTGATTTCCTGTTTGGGTAACTGCACTGTGGTGTGTTTTTTGTTCTAGATACAGTTAGGGAGAACTTAAATTATGTAGAAGGGTGTATTAAAAACTTTGTGTCAAATAAAAATGAAATTAGAACGTGTAGTTAAATCTGCAGGTGGACAGGCTTATCTGAAGTAGCCTTTGTACTCTTGGGAAAAGTAACCTAAATTAACACAATTTTTAAAAAGATGGTAGAATAGCTTTTCCTACTTTCAATGTTTTGTTGTTTGTGGTTTTTTTTTTAACACTTAACTGCAGGAACTTCACAGTGAGGATGACATCAAGGAGAGCAATGGTTCTAGCCCACTTCCAACTGATGCAGAAACACGCAGCCCTTCCCCAATCTCAATCTCCAGCAGTGAGACTAGTAGCATTATGCAGAAACTTAAAAAAATGCGCAGCAGAATGGATGAGAAGTAACTATTTTTTTTTTCTTATACAAAAGTTTACTATTTTAATAGAATGAGTTGGTTTGGCCACTATTTGCACTAAAAATGGCCATCAGAAAAATTACAGAGTTATTGATGTCACATACTTTCATCTGAGATGCCTGAAAAATAGGTGATTGGAAGCTTTCACAGAACTATGTTAATCTTTGAATATAATATTTTAAAGGCTACAGTTCTTGCATGAATACTGGGATTGAAACATTGTTAGTTGGCAGACCATATGGTCAAGGTTTTATTGTAGAATATTGGTTTTGGTGTTCTTTGTACTTGATAGAGCCGGTAAAAGCACATCAGTTTAAGAGATTTTGATGTTTGTGCATACAAGGAACTTGGGTGGGCTCCAGCTTGATGGTGCATCTTGTCAGAGTTCCTCTTGCAATGAGACCTGAGATCAATTGGTCAAAGTGGTGCCTATATTTTGTATCTCCCCTCTTATTTTAGAAGGAAAAAATACAGGGAGTGAGATTCTGAAATTACAGTACCAATTTTTATCTTGAATTGAAGTATGTGTTATAAATAGCAATAGTCATGCAAAAACTAGTAACACAGTTTGAGATCTGGCTCACAGAAAGTCATTGAGCTTGTCAGGCACGTGATTTCTACCTTATTATCCAGCTGCTGAATTTCAATTCTAATTGCATTAAAATCAGCTAGGGATGAATTCTGTAAGTATTTTCTTAATTAATGGAGGTGGTGTGTGTATGAGTGAGAAGGCAAGCCGTTAATAAGACTTTTCTTTTCCTCCTGTGTGGTCCACAGGTTGGAAAAATGTTGAAAATGGTTGTTAGTCTTCAGAGGAAATAATGAAGTATATGTGCAGTTCCTGGGTCTAAAAACTAAGACTGAATCTGTTGTTTTCACCCATTAAATTGTTTTGAATCAAAAAATTGTTTCTACATCTTCAGTATAGGAATTACTTTGCACTAAACATCCCACAAGCTTTACCAGCATATCCTCATCAGCTTGGAGCCTTAAATTCTTATTTGAGACTAACCCATTAAAAGTCTGGCCTCTGCCAGTTACCGCAAAGAATAGGCTTTCCTTAAAAAACTTTTTTGAACTTATAACCAAGGCAGATCACTACATTTTAGTCCATATGGGTATCTTTGTAATGTTTTCTCTCTTGAGACTCCTAACACAGCTGGATAAAACATCAAAAAGCAAGCACTGCTATTTGTAAAGGCAAGCTACCCGTGACTCCTTAGCACCTTATTTGTTTATAATCATTTGAGAAGCACATTCGCTACACTTGCATGTATTTGTATATGATGAAGGTAAAAAACAATAGTAGTAAGTTTTGGTGTAAGTAGGAAAAAACCGAAACCATGTTCTAGTTACGTGGTCTTCATACACTAGCCTAAATTGATTGCTATTTTATTCATACTCTTCTGGTAGGATCTGGTAAACTGAACAGCCAAAACCAGAACTTATTTCAAGTTTGCGAAGTGTCATATTACCAAAACTAAACTTTGGAATTCCAAGTCATGTGAAAACCACCCCATCGTTACAGCAACTGACTCTTTCTCAAAGTATGTTTGGAAATTGATAAATGGCTTAAGATGAAGACTTAAAAAGGATGTGCTCTGTAGGCCATGTTGACTTCTAGGGTTTCAAGAAAACAAGATTTTTCTTCCAGTCCTTTGTTTGCTTTGGGGGTTTTTTGTTACCAAGAGGGTCTTAATCTTATTTTTTCGACCCAAGATCCACCATACAAAACTTCAAATGGTGATAAAGTGTTACAAAACCAAGTTACAGCTTATGAATTTTGAGATTGTATTAATACTGTATTAATACTATACAAGATTACAAATGCACTTTTATATTCAAGACTTCCTATGCTTTTTTTTACCAATTAGTGGTTTTGTCAATATTGGTTTTGAAATGCTATTTTTTTTCAAAGTGCCTTCATTTCTAAGCAACACTTACGAATACAGAAAGAATTACATATTAATAAATAATTTTTCTTAGAAGGGATAGTAGTAGATACAAAGTATGTTTTACCCTTAAAGATACTTTATCAGTCCAAAAAATTGCTCACCTGGTGAATACTTTTTGAAAGGGCGGATAGCAGGATTTGAGCTGAAACAATTGCTTTTAGGAGAACAAGTGGAAATTGTGTGTGATGTAATGTATGTGGTCATGTTATTTTTGGTTTTATCTTGGGTTGCTATGTCTGTTCAAAGGAAGTAGTATTTTTTGTAAACATAAATGATTCTCTAGAACTCGATCTTCCTGACTGTGTAGCTCTTACACACCTTTTGCAGGTATTTTGATAGTGATAGCAGTTCTCGTTGATTGAAAAACAGTGAAAACTTGGTATTTTTTTTTAATGTCCATATTTGTAAATACATAAGAATAATATTAATGTAATACAATGAGATATTTGGGTTGGGGTGGAATGATAGGAAGCTGCTGTTTGAGGGGAGTTGATCAGTTTGCAAGATACTACAAAACGAAAGAAGCTGAGTGACAAATGCAGAGGAACTAGAGGAAGGAATTGGGAAACCCTTCTGTGCTGGATTTGCTATACTCCATAGCAAAGTGAAAATCCTTTGACTTTTTTATTTATGAGGCAGCTTTAATATTTCTCTTCTGCTAAAAGGGGAATGAAAGAATAGTTCTGTTTTAATTTTAGTTGATCAATCTGTGTAACCTGCATGGGAACAGGAGCATGCTCTGTCAAAGAGAATTAACCACTTTCCCCTTGCTTTACTTGCATATGCATCTTTAATGATAATCTGTGCAGTAGAAGAACTGATTAAATGCTCATTTTCTTTTGCTTTTCCTTAGTATGCTTCTTACCTTGCATTGTAGTTGATAGAGCTATATGGAGCATGGTATTTTTGTACAAATATGATAATTCATTAGGAATTAGCTTAAAATGGTAACTCGTTGGGAAATACTATTTTAAGCACAGCTATAAGTTTATGTAGATTTTTTTTAAAACAATAGGCATTATCTTTCTGCAGTTAGTACTCCAAATGAGGCAATACGTGAGTATTCTGAGACCAAGTCTGCACTTTGTTGCAAAAAACCACAATAGCAGCTAGAAGTTGAATTACAGGTATATCTCAGACTTTTCTGGAATGTTTTAAAAATGTTACTTAATATTTTTTTTTTTTTTTGCCATTTTACTGGTGCTTACCTTTGGAGAAATAATTTTACTGAGGTTTCACCAGGTGAATGAAAATATGTTTAAAGTTTCAGACTAGCAGAGTTGTTGATATCACAAAACCAGCATGCTTTATAATGCTAATAATATACTCTATAGATGGTTAGAATAGCAGGAGTTGCAAAAAGATCAGGTTGAGATACGTTGACCGGTGCATGTGGAAGTCTGCATCAAAGTAATAAAACTCCTTGCAAAATTAACAGAAAAATATAGCAGTGTGAAAGTAGCTTGCCTTTAACTAACAGAAAATGAAGTGTTATAAGTGTATGTGTGCTATTACCTTCTGCATAACAGTGTATAGTTTTTCTACTTCGGATGTTGGGTAATAACTATACAATGTTAAATGCAATTAATTTTGAAGTTCTTTGCTAGATGCTATCCTTTTCTCGTTCTTTCTGCCTTTTTTGCTATCTTAGTTTTAAACTCTTCCTCCTTATTTTGTAGACACTGCTCTCCTGTTCACTACTTCTTCTCTGTCTTTACGTCTCACCACTGGGCCTCTCTCAGTGTCTGTTTTCCCAACCTCCACCCCAAATTCCAGCTGTATATCTACAACCAATTGGTCAGGTAACTGTATCTTTCTCAAGTGATAGACTCTTTGATAGAGCATGCTCTGTTCGGTCCTAGGAAGTCAAGAGGTTCTTCACCAGTGAACGTTTTTGGCACTTTCCTTGCTGTTTCCAGATCTTTATTAATGACACAGACAGTGGGATTGGGTGCACCCTCAGCAAGTTTGCAGGTGACACGAAGCTGAGTGGTGCAGTTTTGCTAGAGGGAAGGAATTGCCATCCAGTGAAAACTTGACAGGCTTGAGGAGTGGGCCAGTGTGAACCTCAGGAAGGTCAACAAGGCCAAAAGGAAGGTCCTGCACCGGGGTCAGGGCAATCCTCAGTATCAGTATAGACTGAGGAATGAATGGATTAAGAGCAGCTCTGCAGAGAAGGACTTGGGGATGCTGGTGGACAAAAAATTGGATATGAGCTAGCAATGTGTGCTTGCAGCCCAGAAAACTAACTGTATCCTGGGCTAGATCTAGACTAAATATAAGAAGAAATTTTTTACAGTAAAGGTGGTGAGGCACTGGAACAGGGTGTCCAGAGAAGTTGTGGAAGCCTCATCCCTGGAAGTGTTCAGGGTCAGGCTGGATGGGGCTTTAGACAACCTGATCTAGTGAAAGGTGTCCCAGCTCATGATAGGGGGGTTGGAACAGATGATCTTTAAGGTCCCTTCCAACCGAAACCATTATATGTTTCTAATCTTTTATTCTTACTGTGTTCTGAGCAGCAGACAGATGGTTCACTTTGTTCCCACTGTCTGGTCACTGCTTCAGAATAGCGCTGCTGAAACTTTACTTTGGGCTTGAAGTCAGTATACCTTGGTTATAAATATACAAATACAGGTTAGAGCACCAGGTTAATGCTTCCAGGTTATTATTTTGAATGGGTGGATAAAAACGTGTGATGTTAGCACCATAGAAACAGTTAGACTTTGAAATCCTGCTGGTGTAATCTGAGTGCTGCTGCTTCTTTGCTCCCCCAGATTTCCAGTTTCATAGATGCCAGATGTGGTTTTGCATCTTTTTTCTGTGAAGGTGCCCCTGCTTTTGAGGATAAATGTGTATCCTTGGTGTTGCAACTGGAACCTTCTAGACTGTAGTAAATACTAAGGCAGCATGTATGCTATGTTGTGGCTCTGACCTTTTAAACCCCAGGGTTATAAAAGGGTCTGCATCTTTAGCCATGCTGCTTTAATCCTCCTCTTCCTATTGGTTCAATTTCTCTCCCATTGCTTCTTTTGACTTACCCTTCTTATTAAGTAGTCTTTGTCTGGTGATTAGTTTCATCATCATTTAGTTAATTCTCCTCCTGTTTGTGGTCTTCTGGGTTAATTCATTTGACATCTGCTTTTAAGGAGTCCTGGTCTTTTGAATCCATTTATTTCAGCCTTTCTCTTGCATTTTATCTCAACTGGACTTGCCTCCCTCAAGATCCAGTAAACTGTGAAGATCTAGACAATCTGATGAAATCAAACAGGAGGTGAGGGAAGAAGAAAAAGTTGCCTTTTGCACTGAGTTCATTGTAATAATGACCTCCATAACAAGTTCCAAATACATGATCTGCTAGACTGATTTGAACTGATGTCTACCTGAAAGTAACAGTTGATAAATCTGATTGTTGTGTCTTTCACCAGCACTTAAGCATGACTGTCCATGCCATGTTTGTAATGCAATTACTGTTGATAGCCTAGTTTCTTAATTATATTAATCGGTTGGTTTTGCCTAAGAGTAGATGGTGATTGATGTTTGTCTATAGAAAGTGATAAAGTAATCACAAAATCATGGAATCTGTCAGCTTGAAGGTGGCAGATGTTCCAGAGACTCTGAGGTCCTTCTTTTTTTCAACTGCTTTTGTTTTGTCTATAGGAAAGATGGTTGTGGGCATGACTTACTGGCTTCTGAAACTTTTATCTTCACATCGTAACTTGTTCACCTTATCTGAATCTGTCTTGGAGAAGGACTTATCTGAATCTTAACCATTCTGATCAACTGCCAGCTCACTTTTCCGGGGAACAGAATGAACACAGAGCAAACAAGAAATGTTCCTTAGCAGGAGAGACCTGCAAATTAGCCAGTTGGTCATTCCAGTCTCTGTAAATAAAAGGGGTTTTTTGAAACACAAGAGATTAAAAAGCACAAATGAAATAACTATCTGCTTTGCAGCTTAAAAACTTCGATGCTAAATGTTTGGGATGACAAATTAAAAAGGCATTTGCAAAGCAAAATATCACAAGTCTTTGAAGACTGCCTATTTATGCACCACACCTTCTGTACCAATGACAAACTCGCTCTAGCTGGCAAACCAGCTGTATTTTCTGTATTTTCTACAGATGGATTCTGTGATACCTTAAAAATTGCAGCGTAGGAGATGAGTGGATTAATGTACACTATTCTCTAGACTTGGCATGTCAGAGGAGGTGTGTGCAATTGATGTTGAACTTGCTTCCATTTACTATCTTAAAGGTTAAATGCTATGGTCTTGGTTACTTCAATATTTAGAAATAAGACCAAAGATACTGTTGTTCAAAAGCTGGCAGAGAGACCTAGTATATGCACACAGATGTATTCATACCTATGAAGTTCTTTAAGAATTTCCCCATTTCTGAGGTTTCATGGATCACTTAAGAAGTCTTTGTCAGAAAGAAAAAAATTTGCTGATTTTCAGCGTGAGCTTTACTTTTTATCTGCTCTTAAAAATGAGCAGCCAGATCTGTTAGTAGCCGGAAAAAACAGCCCTGCGTCTTTATTCTCTTGATGCTGTCAGCCGACAATTAACTTTCCAAGTGTGGAAATCCATAAAGATGATGCTTAAAGGAAGAAGTATAAAAGTTCCAGTAATTCAGGAGAACTATTAATACAGAATCACCATCTCTTATAATTAGGTATTTGGAAAGAACTGTGGGGCAGCTAGGGTTACAATTTTTCTGTCATTGGGATTAGCAAAAAGAAAGGTTCATTTTTCAAACTGCTTTCTTGAGGGTTCCAGTTTAATACCACAGGTACTTTTTACATCCTGAAGTTGAGAACTTGTCCTGTTCATTTTAGTGACTAGTTAGTAGCACTTTTAATTATTTTTGAAGATCTTTAAAATGTAAGCAGTCTGTTTACAGTATTTTGTAGACTTACTGCAAAGAAAAAGCTCTTGTCTACTTGTTTGGGTTTTTTCAGCAGCACATCAGAAGCTTAGGACATAGTAGTTAGTGTGGCTATTATCCTAGAAAACAATTGGAACAGCTGTAATTCTGGGAATTGTGGCAATAGAGTGTCTGGGTATCGGGAGCTTTGAGTGCAGTTGGCTGTTTTCCCATTGTCTTCTGCTCTGTCTGTCAGGTTCCTAACTAAGCGAGAACAGAAGCTGATGCAGCGTCGACAACATGCTGAAGAATTGTTGGAGTGGAAACGCCGCCTGGATGCAGAGGAAGCAGAAATACGGCGGATAGAAAAGCAGGCTCTAGCTGCCTGGGACAAAGAACTGCTCAAAACCAAAATAGCCAAGAAAGACCTGGGGGATCAGAGAACTGAGCCTAAAGGTAATGGGAAGAGGGAGGAAGTGATGCAAATGACAGCAGTAAAGCCTAATTTGACACAATGATTGCTTAGGCTTGTGCTTTCTTCCTTTTTTTGATGTTTTGGTGGTGGTTGTTCTTCTCCGGATGCTTTTAGAATCTTAATTTCTGCACTCTACTGCCTTCTGTTGCGTTGTTTTTTTAGCCCTGTTTTACACCTTAGTTAAATGTGTATTCCTCCTTTGCTGTATATCTTCTCAAGTGAACAGTGCAGCATAGGCCCGTCAGACGTTTCTACATACAATTTAAAATGTATTTCTGTCTTTCAAAACAAAAATGTTGCATTATCTTTTGCTGATCATCTTCCAAACTTACTCCATTAAAACCATTTTCTCCTGTAGTGCTGTTTGAGCATCTATCCTGTTAGCGTTATTACTGTTGGATGGCTCTTATCAGGAACTGCTTTCCACTTGTCTCTCTTTTCAAAAAATTGAAAGTATTTTTTTCTTCTCTCTGTTGTTAATGCAGTATAACTGTTTGAAATCTGCGACTGTGCAGACGCGTGCTAGGTTGTAAATGGAAATAATGATGCTATTGCGAGGAAAAATAAGTTCCCAGATTTTGGGAGCTACAGCTTTACTGTTCTGTTTTAAATGGACTATGTTTCATCATGAAACAGAGAACTGGATTACAGTGGGAGAAAATATGAAACTTCAGGGACTGTTCTAGAAATAATCAATTTTCCTTTTTTTCCCATTTTGCTGAAAGCAGGCAGCATGTCCTTTGAATGCGCAAAGGGAATTCAGAATTATACCCTATTACACTTGTAATTGTAAACAGTCATGTGGATTTTAGGCATTGTAAGACATTTTAAAGATGATATCTATATGAGTCAGTAAGTTCCAATGAACAGAAATGCAGCATGAATGCTGAATTCTCATCAACAGATGAGAAAATACACTTGCTTTCTATTAATTGTATCTACCAGTAAGCATTGGAGCACGGCCCTGCTTCAGAAGTTCCTCTCCCCAGCCTTCACTCAAATATTGAATAGTTCTCCATGGCTGCTTCAGTAGTGTTGTGACTCCTGTGGAATTTAGTAAACAGGAATATTGAAAACCCAACTTATTATTTTACTTGTTGCCAGTTGAGAGACTCATGATGAGATCATAACATTAAAATGTTTTCTGCAACTACTGTAAAGGAAGCAATCAATTCTAAATTCAAGATCTGGCTTGCAGATTATATGCTCCTCCATGACTTCTTCAGACTAACAGTGACTCTTGCTGGTGTATGGTCAACTGGAAGGACAGGTTTCCCTAATAATCCTTTTGGAGTGTGTTGTCTGGAAAATGTTAGAATATCCTGAAAACTCCTTTATTTTAGACATTCACCAATCACTAAGAACGTCTGGCAGTCCTAAATCATAGTTCTGTGGTAAACATGCTTGTTCTTGCTAAATATTCCACCTTTGGTGTCTAGGTGAGTGAAGTAACACTTATCAATTTGACATGTAGTGGTAGCAGTCACTACTTCATATGCAGGCAGCAGTATCTCTGAAGGCATATAAGTCAGTGCAAGTTCTTAGGCACACTCTTTTTTTCTCTCGTTATTCTATCTCAGAAACAGCTAGTGAAGAAGAGTCTCCAGTGCCTTCTTGCTCTCATCTGAACAGTGAAAGCTCTATCCCAGAAGATCTTGGTAGTCTAGCTGCTGAGTCTGTCCCATCGGAGACTATGGGCCATGGTCAGCCAGAAAGCCCATATCAGAGTACAACTAATGAAGATATGGTTTATTCTGAAGACTTCAAGTCCTCTACCTCACCTGGCAAACTTGTGAGTGAGCTTTCTTTGCTATATATATTCTTACACTTGTAAAAGGCTATCAGAGAAGTAGTAACTATAGCTGTCCCAGTTGTCAAAGCAGAGGTTAAACTATTCTCTGTGTTTGCAGTACCATTTTACGTTACTGTGCATAAACACTGTGATCAGATATGTTCTTTGAAGTCTCGAGGAAAAATTGCTTCAGCATAGAGTTTGAATATTTTTAGACTTGTGGGTAGTCTTGCAAAATGTTTTGCATATGTCATGTAGGTATGCAGTATTAAGTGGTGGAACACTGACCCAGTTTACCACTGTGAATTAGCTGTAGGCTAGCTTGTTACCATTGTATAAATTCTTTGAGGCCATGGAAACTATGCTCTGTTTTTCTGCTTTGCTTTACTTGCAAGTAATGTATCCCAAAGTATAGCTGTAGGCTGAAGAAGCAGAGCTGTAACGTCATGCACAATCCTTCGGGTTTTAGATTATGTCTGCTAGCTACTTCTGCCTTATTGTTCTCTTCCAACTGTTACTTCTACTTGGTTGATAATTTTGATAAATTTCATCCTGGTAACTTTGCCCGGTGCTCAGTGAGACAGAAAATGCAGTGTCTGTGGGGTAAAAGAGCTACTCATCTAGACTTATTACAAATAATTTCTTGGAAAGTTTGCTGAGAATATAGTGAGGCAAAATATCTAAAATATGTGCTAGAGTTCATGTTCAAGGTGTGTGAAAGGTTTGTGGTATAATGTTGCAGCAGTAAGAGCATTTTGGAAGAATATTTGCTCTTAGAATTTTTTGCCTGGCTACACAGAAATAGTGCTCTGTTATTTTACTGATTTAGAATGGCATCTTGCACCTCTTCCATGAAATGGTCCTTTTGGTTTCACAGATATATTTAGTATGGGTTCTCACTGCCATGGCTGTTACCAAATACAATTACATAAAGTATTGAACATGTGTGAGTCTGAACCATGTTAGTTCACTTAGGTAGTAACAGAGCAGTCTACGCAGGTTTACTGAAATCTAAGCTCAAATTAAGTAGTCAGTTATTGCTACTCTTGGTATTTTTGTTTTATTGTCTAGCAAACTAAATTCTTCTTGAGATAGCTGGATAGGTACCACTGCTTATGAGAAGTTCTCTAGTCATGCTATTCTTTCCTTGTAACTAGCCCTGATGACAACAATCTCCTGCTTTCAAGCTGAGCTTTACAAGCAATTACTTGTCCTTTTCTTCTCCCATAGTCTCCTCCCAAAAGCAGCATATCTGTATCAAAGCAAGATTCCAGCAAAAGCAGCCATAGAAGTGGAGGACAGCTACGGTCACCTGTGAAGTCTCATCAGATATCTCACAACTGGTCTGATGAATCTTTATCTATGACACAGTCAGGTAAGTGTAATATCTGCTTGGGTTTAAATTGCTTTTTCAAAGCTTTTGCGTTTAACGAGTAAACTTGAAATGCAGACATAGGTGTGGGGAGTCAGATAGAAATTCCTGGAAATTGCCAAGGTTTGGGGTTTTGTGGGAGTATTTTCCCATGATGTAATTTGATCGCTTCAGCTTAAGAAGGTCTTAATATATGAAGGTCTATACATTATCTCTCCTTTTAGAAAGCAACACAGGATCCTGCAAGCAGGTGTGAAGAAGATAAGAGTTAAGGTGGTCCTAGAATTTAAAAATACTAAGGCTAGCTGTGCTTTTAACAGGTGACACTGCTCCACCCCTCACATTTTAAGAAAGCAGCATACAAACGTGATCGTCCTCCTTCTGAACACACTCTGGCTCCAGAAGCAGTACCATGTTATCATGGCAGTATGAGTGAGCCCATTGGACCTGCACTGGCATGTGCAGAATAAATGAATACTTCAGGACATATGTTTTTATTTTTGGAGGAGGGTTTGAACTGTGTGCAGTAAAATAAGTTCTAAGATTTTGAGCTATGAAATACGAGGTCTACTGTATGGACCCTTCATAGCCTTTCATCCAGTGTCCAAGCTGGCTATCAGTAAATGCTGAGGGAGAGAATACTAGAAGTGAACTGGTACAGAGCAGTCCTCTCCCTGGTGTGCTCTCACAGTCTCAGTCATGTGGATTCCAGGACTTCCAGAGCCACCATTCAGTGGGTCACCATCATCAGCTGTGTTAAACTGTGAAGCCTGTTTTGAACATCTGTGCTTTTAATCTCTAAAATGTCTTGTATTCCACAGTGCAGTTGATATAGTATCATAAAATACTTACTAGCAAATGAGATAGCATTTTCCTGCTTTTTTTTTTTTTTTTTTTAATTCCCTAAATTATCAATAAGTCTTTAGTGGAAAAAGAATTAGATGGTTCTATTGTATGTACTGGCTGTTGTTTGTGATAGATGGATAACTTACTGGCATGCGTACGTATCCAGTCTTCGTGGTGCTTGATGTAGCAAGCTTAATAATCTTTTCTGTTGGGTTGGGTTTTTCTTTGTTAATATGTATGTAAGTGCAATAGAAACACAGTAATTTTGAGGCAGCTGTTCTCCTGCTGGATAGAGAAATGAATACATAACACCTAGGTATTTGCACCAAGTAATTTGTATTGGGGTTTTGTCTGGAGAGCAGTTTGCCAACACAGTGAAGCATTCGGCAACTTGATTAAGTTATTTTCAAGTTCTGACTGAGCAACCACGTAAGGAAGCCATTATGGAAAGTAGAGCGGGCAACAGTCATCATGAAAATAAACTTTTGTAAAATAAAGTATTTGCAATCTTTGATTTCAAATGCTGAAGAAAGGTATATGGAGGTGGGAAGCTGATCAGGATGGTGCTGGTTTCACAATAAATCATTCCATTGTGAAGACAAATCTTCCAAGCTGATGAGTAGTAATGAAGTCATTGCTATGTCAGTCTGATGCATGTGGAGGCAAGATCGTCAAAGATGAAAGCATGTGCAGATCTTTCCCTTATGAGTTGATCAAGAAAAGCTATAATTATGTAGTGGTCACTTACGGGAGGAGTTGTTAATTACAGTGGCATCATAAAGTACTCCTGATTAGCAAGTGAGATGCCATTCTTCTCGTACTGTTTTGTTTTTCTTTTAATTCTCTAAATGGTTAACAACAGTCGTTAATGGAAAAATAATACAGTAGTTTGTCTTTACTGGCTGTTGTTGATGATGAAATCCCTCTTTTTGGTGGTTTGTTGTCTTGAGAAATTAAAATTGATTAGCAAAATGCCCAGCTGTTCCTGCTAGCTGACCAAATAATACCAGTCTTACTTTCTGAGATGTTCAGTAAAGCAATTGGCACTTACAGGCATCCAAGACTTTTGGTCCAGAAAACATTATAGGTAATACTGAGCATTAGAAAAGCAAACCAGCCAAGATTCTTCTCTTAGGAGCTGCAGCTGCTGCTATAGAAGAGGAAGGGGCACATCAGCCGCAGGGAGGAGCTCCAGTAAGACTATGTCAGATAAATATTTTGAAGAATTTTTGGTATCTAATTGTGTTAGCACCAATCTGGGACCAGGATCTTGTTTTGCACTATGTTGGTATGCATTTAAACCAAGAAACAAGTGGACATAATCAGGTGGGCAGATAAGAGTAAGTAATGAGACACTGAGGCAGTCTCTCTATAAAGACTTGAGAGGTCTGAGAGACTAAGAGATTGTTACAGCAGAAATAATGAAAGTAGCAGAGTTACTGGTAGAATGGGGTTATCATGCAGAGAATGGATCTAAGTATCTGGGGGAAGTCTCACAAGGGAAAAGAGGGGGAACATCATCAGAAGGACTGGAAGACCAGGTTGCAGGGAGTTCTAAGGATGGAGAGGAATGGAGGAGATCTTACTTAAATTACTAAGGATAATGATTAAGAAAAAATTATTCAGGTGGAAACCAGCTACAGTCAGTAATGGCATTATAAGAAGATCTGTAAAATTGAACTTGGAGCAAAGATATGCCAAGTAACTTTGTATAAGCTATTATTGTAGTCCACCACACTACCCCCATTCAATCTTAATATTTTAAGACTAACATGTTGGCATTTAAATTCTTTGATATTTTGCTCGGACCATATTTTGTATTTACTAAATGACTGTTCATTGCTTTGCATAGAACTGTTTTGTGAAGTGCAAGCTTACAAAGACTAAAACTAAACTTTTTCAGAAACCACATCTGATCAAAGTGACATTGAAGGACGGATCAGGGCCCTGAAGGATGAACTACGGAAAAGGAAGTCCGTGGTTTACCAGCTGAAAAAGGAACAGAAAAAGAGGCAAAAGGAGAGACTGAAAGCCCAGGAAGCCAGTTTGATCAAACAACTGGAGGTTAGGAATAAAGAAGGAAGAAGGGCAAAGCAAAAGACTGTTAGCCTTGGATAAATCATTATAGTATGGATGTTTATGGCAGAGTACCCTATCAACAGCTGTGAAAGACACATTGCTGTGATAGAAGTGAGACTGTGTTCTGGCTATTTCACTGTTTTCAAGAATGAACCAGAGCCTTGAGGCAAAAATGCCCATTCCCTTTTAAAATATATATCTTTAATGGATTACTAGCAGTGTTCAGGGGGCTTACGTATCCTAGCTTGGATTAAATTGTGTGATGCTCATGTAACTTGTTTTTGAAAGTTAAGTATTAAAATTTCTAGGATTCACAACTGTAGAGCTTTAGTAAGTTAAATAGATTGCTTTATGGATAAACCAGGTTTATCTTTTATTCATTTAATAGGTTTTAATTGCTGAATTGTGCTAATGGTTTAGTAGACTAACAGCCATAACTGTTTTCCATGTGTAGTCTTATGATGAGTTTATCAAGAAGACTGAAGCAGAGCTGAGCCAAGATCTGGAAGTATCACCCACAGCCAAACCTCAGATTAAAACTCCATCCTCAACTGCTGCTGAAAAACCTAGGATCAAGGCACCACCCCTCCACAGGTAACGGGGATTTCTTCTTTTTGAGATTATTCTGAAAATGCGGTGAGTGCTATTTTAGCAAAAACGATGAGTACAAGGAAAGCTGGTAACTGGAGCACTGGAAAAGTGGCAGTATTTTGTTGACTATTTGCTGGTCTCATCAGACCCAAAACAGACAAAATATTCCATCCCTGTAATTGTATGCATCTCCCTTTTGTCCTGCCCAGTCTTTCAGATCCTGTTTTCAAGTTCTTTCTCAACAATGATTTTCAATTGTGCAAGAATGTGCCAAATAGTTAGTTGTATGGATTACTGACCCAAATTTTTCCCCATTTTGGTCACCTGTTATGCCTGCCACACTGTGTGAGTCAAACCATTCATCTTCATAACTTAAATCTGGTTCAGAATTTAGGTTTTAAAAGATAGAGGATTCAGCTGACTTCTGCAGTTCCTACTGTATTTTTAAGTGTTTCATTTTTTCCAGCAGATGGTGCAATTTTAGCGAGTTCAGGTAAAACAAAAAAGTTCTTTTCTTTTTCTCTTTTTTGACTGCAAAAAAGGTTAGTTTGATTACTCTTCTAGAGAATTACTTTGCAGGGCTTGCCAAAGTCTCCTCTCTGTCCCCATTCCTGTTTTCTAAGGTCACAATATGTTGACAAACCAAACTGTTTGTTATCATTGGTGTGGTAGTATAACAGATGCTTGTATTTCCATTTTTATCTATTAAAATAAAAAACCCAAAACCCAACACTCTGGTGTAACCATGATTCATGCAATTTGATTTTTCAACTTTAGACCTGAGACAGCTAAAAACTGGAAATCACTGGCTGAATCAGAGCGATCCAGAGCGTCTTTGGAATCCATTTCAGAACATGCAGGTATGTGACTGGAAGAATCTTTGCTGCAGTTGAAGATCTTGAAGACTGACTGTTTTAAACTTCTTTGATCTTCTCCTTCTTGATTCAGGAAGAGGTTTTAAGAGAGCATGCAGACTTTGTAAAACCATAAAGATCAAGCTATATTTTTTACTATTTGTATTTAGTAGGCTTCAGCTTTTGCTGTTTCTTGTATATTCAGTATTTAGTTTTACTCTTGCTGAGGTTTGTGTGAACCGTAATTACATGACAACCTGTGTCCTTTCTTTTGTTTCATGTTCCTTTATGGCTTGAGGAAAGTAAGGAAACCAAAAATAATGAAGGCTTTAGGAATAAACATTTAGGAATAGGGCGGTTTTGAGATACTTCACAATGTTTTGCTGTCAATCGTTATCTACCATTCTAATCTTGGTTGGTTTTGCAGCTTGCAAATAAGTAACTGAGCCCTTTCCTTGGGCTCATCATTGTACAGTGTTATGAAATACTGGTACAACAAACAGAGTTGGAAAGAAGGCATTAGAACCCTAGAACTGAAAGAATGTTGCTCATGTTCATAGGACAGCTAGAAATATGTTTCCAAGGCACCAGTTTGTATCTTCTTTTAGCATAGAAACCTTGATGTTAATTTTATTGCCTATGGTTGCAGTTTTCAGTAAAACAATGCAGGCTATATGATCTGCTGTAATTCACTTTTATTTTCCTTCAAGATGCTGTGTTATCAAGAGCTGAGCGATCTGTGTCTGTGCACACCAAGAAGGTGGCTGTGACAGATGTTCATGCAGAACCTTCTGGAACATCTTCCTCTATTTTAATGTCACCAAGGAGTTCCAGAGTAGGATCTGGTGATTCCTTAGATAATGTACCCTCATCATCTCTTCTCAAAGATGTGAAAGACACTAGCAGGATATACCATGGGTCAATGAACAATGTGGTAAATGCATCCAATGATGAGACTGCCTACAGTCATAAGTCTGAGATACAGGAAGACTTGGAATACGTAAAGTCCGAGGAATATGAGATTGAAGGTTCTCATGTTAAGCCTTTGGAGAGTTCTGATGTCTTGTTGACATTAGATAAAGAACAGGAGAGTTCACTGGACACACTTCCAAAGAAAATCCTCTGTTCTGAAGACGAACACTCTCAGAAGGAACTCTTTGGGTTTGCTGTGGAAAGTCTTCATGGTACAGAAGAAATCTTAGAACAGAGACTGGCAGATAAAGATGCTGTAACCGGCCCAAGTGTAGAAGAGTCGTCTTGCAAACTGAGCAAATCAGCAGAGGAAAAAAGTTATCTGCTTTCAGAACAACTCTTCAGTCAAAAGGAGCCATCATACCTTGAAGACTTTGAAGGATCCTCTTCCAGAAAACTAACAGCAGTTGAAGAAACGCTTCCTGGGGGATGTTACAAAGAGGACTTTGAAGCATCTCTTCTCTCTCCAAATGGGGATGGTCAGTCACTGACAGAGCAGTCACAGCACACACAAACCACCAGAAGTAGATCCACCAGCCTTGGCAGTGATGGCGAAATCAGTGAATACCTCAGTGACAGGTCCCTGTCTCTCTCTGGCAGCATGCATTCAGAGAGGTTATTAGAACTTAAGTCCCCAACAGAACTCATAAAAAATACTGAACGCAGAGATGTGGAGCAAGAACAGGCCCGTACCGAATCACCACTCTGGGCCTCTATTTTGATCACAGAAGAAACAGATAGTTTGCCAAATTTCAACATTGGTGATAGAGTACTTGTGAGTAAAGTCCAACCCGGAACATTGAGATTCAAAGGTCTGACTAAGTTTGCCAAAGGGTTTTGGGCTGGCGTAGAGTTGGATAAACCTGAAGGGAACAATAATGGAACTTATGATGGTATTACATATTTTGACTGCAAAGAAAAGCATGGTATTTTTGCTCCTCCTCAAAAAATCTCTCACATTATGGAAAGTATTGATAGCCATTTAGACACAAATAAGGATGAAGACTCATTCTTCGATGATAGACTGGAGAAGCAACACAAAGCAGAGCAGAAAGACAAAGGAAGTTCTAAACCTAGCAAGGAAGATGAACCACAGAGCAGAGATGCAACAGAGAACTATTCCCAGGATAAAGCTCCTGCAGACACAGCTGTTTTGGAAGCCTCAGCTGGGGAAAGGGTTGATGAAGAGTCATCTTCCAAAGCGAACAGCATAAAGATTTCTGTAGCTACTGAATCAACTGCCCAAGAACAGTCAGTGGTGGATTATCTGAAGCATGCTGTAAAGGAGACCAGTTTTGCTTCTCTCATTTCTGGTGATGTGGATGAGATTTCCACTGTTCAGTTGGATGACATCTCAGATTTCCTTTCTGAAAAACTGGAGAGGCAGAAGACACTGGGGGAAGAATGTGCTGAAAAGTTAGATGATCTCTCTCCTGGAGTTGTGGAGAAGCCTGCAACTCCACTTCTGGATTTGCTGACAAAAGAAAAGAACCAGTTAGAAGCCCAGCTTAGACTACCACTTAGAGAGGAAGAAAAGTCAAAAGACCAACTGGAAAAGGTCAGTTTGCTGACAGACAGCCTACTTAGAGATTTTGTGAAAGACACAGTCAATCAGTTACAGCAAATAAAGAAGGTCAGGAATGAGAAAATCCAGCTCAGCAACCAGGAGCTCTGTGATGTGAAGGAGGAATCCGGTACCCCATCCCAGCAGGTAGAAAAGCAGATTTCTGACGGACTGAATAACTTTTTTCTAAGTTCCGATTTGGAAGATGAACGAGAAGAACTTTCCTCTCCAGACATGTGTCCCAGACCAGTAAGTAACAGATATCTTGCACTGATCTTAAGAGTTGATTGTTCCTTTGACTGATGATGATTGAATCTTAGGAATGCTGTGTGGCACCAGTTTGTTTTCTCCCAGGTTCTGTTTGGTGATGTGGAGATTGCCCATAAGTATGTATGTCTTTTACATGTGTATTCTTGTGTATCCCAGTTGACAGCTCATTTTGGTAGCCCTGCAGGCTGAAAGACACATTTTGGCACATGGAAGTGAAAAATACTTCATTTAGGTTACATTCTGCTTACATGTTCCATTTGTATTTAATCCTTACCCTCAGTTTTTATTCTAAAAATGGCAAAATACAATAGACTGTAAGCTTACCTCTGTCTATTCTTGATGTGAAATAATCATCTTGAAACATAATTAGTTGCTGTGGAGGTTATTAAGATGTCAGACTGCTCTATCCACTGAACTAATATATCATGAATAGTGGAAGTTCAAGCTTCCTCAGAACAACCATTAATGATACAGATAGAGGACTTGGCCTTTCTGCTGAAAATCCCAGTAAACCTGTCTGCTTTGCCATTGATCTCAATATATTATCATCACAGAAAGCTTCAGCCCATTTCACCAGTGTGAGCACTGCTCAGTCACTAAAACAGCCATCAGCTGCTAAAAGCTTTTCGGCTGTTGATTTAGATCTGAGACTGCTGATAAGTGAAGTGAAAAGTTGTATGTCACATTATCAGTTTTTAAACTACTCAGCCTTTCATAAACAGTTAAACATTAGGACAGACGGCAGGCAGGATGCACAGTATTTTAAGCTCTGTAGGAACTCTCTGAAAGCATTTACCATGAGTGGTAGAAACCCCAGGTTTTCAAAATCAAAACATTTCTAATTTTACTGTGGGATGTTTATTATTTTTCTAAGTATTTGTGCATATATTGCCAGTTACATCAGTAGAGCATTTAAAAATGTAAGTTGAGTTAAGACACCAGTGTAATGCCACTTTTATATTTACTCTGTGGCTCTTAATTCACAGGAGAGTCCAGTATTTGGTGCCAGCGGTCAGGAAGAGCTTGCCAAGAGACTGGCAGAGCTGGAGCTCAGTCGGGAGCTCCTTAGTGTGCTGGGAGATGATCAAGACTGGTTTGATGAGGACTATGGCCTGAGTTCCCGTAAGGTCCAGCAGAAGCAAGCTGAGGAACCAGCAGTGTTGCCCAAGGTAGAACCACTGAAAGTGCCAACAAAGCTGTGTGAGGAGCCTTTGGCAGTCCCTCATACTGCAGTGGAGGTGGAAGGTATGGTGCATGCAGCAGCTGAGGAACTCTGGAAACTGAAAGAACTGGGTCGTGATCTTCAAAGTTTCAGCTTTCATACAGATCTTAGGAGTACCCTCAAAGAGCAGGACACAGACACGATAAACAAGCAGGTTTATCAAAAGGTACAGTCTTCAGGCATTTTGTTCTTGCCCTTTGAATGTTTAGCATGAACGACAGAAGCCTTAACTTTTATTTCTTTCTTTATTAAGGTGGTATTTGATTTAACAAGAGAGATCTTTGGGGAAATCTTTGCTGAGGATCCTAATCTAAATCAGCCTATTTGGATGAAACCATGTAGGATCACATCTGCTTACTTTCGCCGAGTAAAAGATCCAAATGATCTGGATGAAATCAAGGTGGGAAGAAATCTTTGTCATGCATAGAAAGTGAGATGAAAACTACTGTACTGGCACTTGCCTGAGTGTTAAAAGATCATAACAGGTGTATCCAGCAAGAAATAAGCTGAGAAGAGAAATGAGATTACAAACCTGAAAGGGAGTTTGTCAAAATGGTCCTTTTTTACTCAACAGAGTTGCGTCCCTGTCCTTTTGGCTGGTACTGGTTGCTTTTAAACTTTTGTCCACTGTGCAGAACTGCCAGGATGACCTTGGTCTTGTAAAATTGGTATGCTGACAGACTGCTGCTTTAGCAGATTTTAGTGGAACTCTGTATGGGTATATTGGTATGGATCCAATGGTAGGGTTGGGCCAAATGGGATGAGCTGGATTTTTTTTCTCAGACACACCTGTGCCAACCTCACTGAGGACAGCAGGAGTTGCCCAGAGGCACCCAAAATTTGACTGGTGAGGGCATTGTTGTATTTAGCAAGCCAGAGGAAGTCTGTTACTGGTGGTAGTGCTCAAGAAAGAATGAAAAAACCAAAAAGCTAGAGCCTGATTGGACCTAGGTTAAACTTGCAGAGCTGTACATTTGGAAAAAAAACTGTCTCCCTGAAAGCACTCAACAAAGAACCTTCCATACAACACATCAGGACACAAATTAAGACTTCCACCTGTCCTGATTCTTCTGAAACTGGGGGGGAGGAGGTGTGTGTTTGACTGTATTTTGATTAACCTGCTGAAGATCCAGCATGTTAACAGTCAAAAAAAGACAAAATAATATATAGATCATTCTGTTAGTTGAGAAGACTTTCAAAAGCATGTGACAGGGGAGAGCAGAGGCACAGGACAAGGACATCAAACTCTCACCGTGCTTTTCTTTAATATTCTCCCATAAAATGGATTATCATAATCCCTTGTTTGCTGTACTGTTTAATTGAAAGTTTCTGTTCTCAAGATTTTTACAGCTACAGCAGTGGGTATCTTTTCTTTTTTTTTCCCCACTTCTAGATTTAATTACTGTTCTGTCTGTGTCATGCTGCTTCAGAGACTTTCACTGTAACTTTCTTGCATACAGTGTATGTCTCTTAGCTAAACAGAATGCTGTTATGCATTCTGTAATGTGACTTTTTAGAGTAGGTACTTCGTGCACACATTTCATTTCTTAGCCTAAATGTGGTAAATCTCACCTTTACTGTTCTGTAGAGCTTTATTGCAGCTGAAGTACTGAAGTTGTTCAGCCTGAGGAAGGAGCCTAATCACAAAACAGACTGGCAGAAGATGATGAAATTTGGGCGGAAGAAACGAGACCGAGTGGATCATATACTGGTCAGTGGATGAAGATAAGCAATCATGTTAGATACTGTCCACCAGACTGAAGTGTGACATATGATTGCATTTTTCAGTATTTGATCATGCTGTTTAAAGAATATAAAGTGTGCATGAGGTCTTGATAAAAGGTGTTTAATTTTAGAGAGCACCCTATTGACAAAAACAGAAGTCCAGTGCCAGTGAAGTAAGGTGACTGCAGTGATTCTCTGTTCATGCCTACTGATTTGACTGGAATATAAATTTGCCCACTCCCAAAAGTTTAAAGCATGAATTTACAGGAGGAAACATTTAAATATTTGACTGAAAGGAGGGTAAACTTCTTTGGGAAGGGTTTTTCTTCTTACTTTTAATTTTAAATGGTTTTATTTTGAGGTAATGTTGTTTAATTGGAGACAGTGATAGTGAGGACTTAATAGACCAGATTTGCAACCTTTCTGTTGAATCTGGTCAGCACAGCAAAGACTTCGAAGAGACAGTATGAGACACAATAATCCTTAGTACAAGGTAACCAGCCTGCCAGATGGTACCCACAGCTCAGTGTTTTCTCAAAGCTAAGCAATGAGTAAGACTTCTGCTCCTGTAGTGCTTGTCATAAAGTAGTGAATGCAGCTGCCACTAGGGCAGACCCAGTTCAGGGTTAAAACTGCATAAAGATAGAGCATGTCTGGCTGTGTACTGGTTTTTGAAAGTTACTTGTTGGCTTGTATCGCAGGATGATTAACATCTTTATTGGCTATAATGAAAGTGAAGGTTCTGCTTGGGAATATGAGTCCTCATTAACACTGTGCTTCACTTAATTATACCTGAAATTGATTCCACACACGCGCACATATAAGTAACTTCGAGTCATGGGTCGTGTGGTCTTTTAATTGCCCATCAGTGGAAGGTTTCCAACGCAAGCTTTTTCTCAGGGATTTAATTTTAATTGTATGTAAATAGAATATCTATGTATAGGATCTGCATATCCTAGTATGCTTGATTCTGGGATATACTTGTTTCTGGGATACGGAGGCTGCTAAAGCATGCACAAAAAAGTCTTATGTTTAGATCCCTGAGATAACTAATAGTGCAACTGTTGTGTACCAATTTCCTAATTTCTTTGAACCATGCCTGGAAAGAAAGATTCCTGACTGGAAAAAAATATTCTAGTTGAAGGCATCCAAAGTGCTTTAGGTGGAACAAGTTTGAAGTTCAGATGATCTGGTCTGTGATTTACATGCAGCCCCAGGCATCAAAGATTAATGGAGCTCTGACAAGCTTGGCTTAATAAATAATGCGTTTAATTTTATTTTGTTCTCACAAGAATATGGTAATAAAATTTTAGCAGAAGACTGGGAATAACTCTGTGAAGACTGCAGCATGCCATGCTTTAGGAATAAGGTAGTCTCAGTGGCATTGCTAACAAATTTATACTGTAATGTGAGACGCTGTCAGAGAAACATCTAACTGAAAACCCAAGGAGATAGTGTTCAATTTCTCTTACCTTGTTTTATTAAAACCTCTATAAAACATGAAGTATCTGGATAGTTTTCTCTGTCTCCTACTCAGCCTTCTACTTGTGCTTAAGGTCATGAGTTCTGTGATAATGCAAGTCCAAGGTCATAAGTGGATATACAGGTCTGTGCAAGGTCTACTGCCTATCCACTAGTAACTCATGGTGTAGCCCTAAACAGAAAGGTCAGTTTTGGAGTTTTCCAAATTTTGTTTGAAGTATATTCAGGACATACAACACAGAAATTTCCTGAAAGAGAAGGTGGGTTAAGGTGCTGTAGAAGCTTCTTTAGTAGAAATCACAATGGAAAATGCTTTGTTCAAGTTTTTGTGAAGATTTAGCCAATATATACCTCCTGCAATGTGCAGGAGATGTCATGTGAGTACATATATGAGCTGTTTGATTCTCCACATTCTTTTGCTGCTTATAAAGACAAAGACTGTTAAATAAAACATGATCTTTGTAAAGCAGAGGTAAACATTCTTAGGCGTTTGTTATTTGCATTTAAAGTTTGAGCACAGGTCCTTCCCAGTTTCTTCATTTCCCCTTCAAGTAAAACTAACATTCAAATGAAAACATCCTTTGATAGTTTTCTGTTGAGACAACTATGTATTTTGAGTGACTTTGAGAGGATTGAACACATCTGACTGTGCAATGCTGTCTGACCCAGGAGCCAGGCATGACTAAGGGTGAGAGGGTTTTTGATACAGAGGAAAGAGGTTCTGTTGTATACCTTCTCCAGCATATTACTAACAGCTGTCAAATGGTGGCATCATCTGCCTGGATGGTTGGGTGGCTTTAAAACCAGGAGGTATGTCTGTTTGCTGAATTCCCTTTTATTTCTTCTGAAGGCACAAAAGCAAGTGCCAAGCTATTCTGCCCAGCTTAATCTCTCCCTGATTATCCCTGGATGTGTCCTTCTGGGTTTATCATCCTAAAAACTATAAACCCAATTCCTAGTGGTTCTTGTCTCCACCAAAGGTTCAGCCTTGTGGGGAAGAGGCACAGCAGTAGAAGCAGCCTGCGCTGCACTGGTGCTTTCTGTGATGCTTGGGTCCTGTGTGTGACAGCAGTCAGCCATCACATCTGCTGGGAATTAAGGGGAGAACAGGATGGATTCCTGTCCTTCAGCTCCTTGCTCTGCCTTGATCTTTGCTACTTCCCCCAGCCACTGCATCTTTAGTTGAATTTTCACTTTCGTCTGCACTTTCCCAGCATTGACACCAATATAGTTAGCCATCTTTTTCTGCCAGTGACAACCATCTTCCTCTTCTCCTTTTTTGCAGCACTGTTAACTTTGATCAGGGATCTTTGTCCTCAGAAAGCATTTGTACTGGGATTTCTTAAGAGACATCTCTGGTCTGCTGGATAGTTGCTCTAGTTATTAACATTTACAGCAGATCTTGGCTTTTAGTAAACAGGTGGAGGAGGTTCAAGTTTACGAAAAGCTACTTTGTTTAAAATCAAGTTAAAGGAGTGATTAAGTGTTTGATTTCTTCTCCTTGTGTCCCTTGGTGTTGCCACCATTACCATGTATATGCTGCCTGTGCTCTGTGGGAGAATTTCAAATGGACACAGAGACCTAGGTGCTGCATTTTGGTACATCAGGGCTGCCTGTGCTTTTCAAAACCTCTTTTTAAACTACAGCAAGAACTCTCATATCTCCTTATTTAAGTTCAGGTGCTAACAATAGGCTGTTTCCACTACTTTTTTTTTTTTTTTTTTCTCACTTGGGTCTTTAGCCAGAACTCCTGTGCTGATCTGTTTGCAGAAATTCTTCCATTGCTTTCCCTGCCACCCCCCCTTCCCTTTTGTCCAGAGATTGACAAAGCAAAGCTCACATGGTAGTGCCAAACCTGTGTGTTTAGCTTTCGCACCTGAGAAGCCTGCCAACAGAGTGCTGAAAAGCACTTGATCTCTTCTGACCTGTTGACTTAATGGCTAGAATGTTTCTCTCCATGCAGTTTTGAACTCTGCAACAAAGCAAAGCTGTTCTATCAAGCTGGCTTAATTGGAAAGCGCACTTCTGTGGTGCCCGAGATCTAAACCCGAGGGGAGTGCAACAGTAAGGAGAGAATTGAAGCCTGCTTGAATGCACAGTCATGCATCATGAGATTTCCAGGCTCTCTGAGAGTGAAGGGCTGTGAGAATGCACCTGTCTGCCTTCCTCCTACTGGCATTCTTCCAAGGCAGTAATTTATTTCTGGATTTCTATACTTTTCAGTCTCCAGATGAACTAGTTATGCCTTAAGTGTAATTTATTTTGCAGATATTTGTGGTTTTGAATTGGGAACCTTCAGAAATTGAAACTTACTAATTTAGTTCCCAAAATTCCCTTCAGTTTATATTCTTTTAAGTGTTGTTTTTTGGGTACTGTGACATTTATTAGATGGCCAGCAGGATCATGCTACCTCATTATATTCTGATTTTTCTTTTGTGTGCATGCCCCCTTCTTTCTTTGAGTGTTTAAAAAAAAACCCCAACAAAGCACACAAGAACCATACTACGCAGCCTTCTGCATTGTGTCAGTATTTATCCTTTCCTGTAAGATGGAATGCGGTTTCCTTAAAACTGTTTTTTTCCTGAGTTTCTCTCTGGCATAGAGGGCTTACTTCCTGGTACCAAACATGTGAAGTTTTACTTCTGTCATGGGAATATGCAAGAACTTAAAACGCTGTGCATGTACGGAAGACAGTGCCCACTTCCATGAAAGCCATGATAGTCACCAAATATAAGCAAACTGTCTCTATTGCTTAGAAGCAGTTTGTAATAATGCAACAAATGGATCAAACGTTTCCCAGACAAAGCAGTCGCAACTGGCTTGGCTCAGATGTCTGCAGCTAGGGCTGCAAAGCAGCACGGCGGTTTCCACACGTGTTCTGAATACACTATAAACAAGACTTGCCTGCAGCTGCAAATTGCATATTCTCTTAGTTTTCCAAAAGTATACTCGAGGAAGTCTTCCTAATGCCAAAGGAAATTGTGCACTGTGCCTCTGAGAAAGAGGGAATGACAGAGGCAAGAGAAAATTAATCACTGATACTGTCTTTCTTTCTTGATCTTTCTACTGCCATTTAACATCCAGCCTTTCTCTGCCTGGATCAAGTTACCTTGTTCTCTCCCGTTTACTTGCATTTTTTTATCCCAGGAATCTTCTTTTGGTTTGGTTTGGTTTTTTCTCCTGGAGCACAGTAAAGTAACTGCCTCATCATGTTATTGCAGGTGAAACAGAAAAAAACAGCAGCTTGGTGTGGATCTGGATGTTGGGGTTTGTTTAAGGGCCAGTGAGATCAGGGCTTTTAACCTGCTTGATTGTTTCACTCACTTTCTTTCCCCCAATCCCAGTGTTAAGTTCCCCTTCTTCCCAGTGAGATCGCTGATGGCCTGTGAGGGTCGGGCAGAAAAATCTCATGAGTTGGTATTGTGCAGCTGGTCCCAGTTAACAGTCTTGGCTGTCATCAGTCAAGGTCCCTGAGTGTCCGCCAGCGTTTGTCTCCATCCACTTCCTTCATCTCCAGGGTCTTCCCCCATTTCCAGGGTCTTTTCTCCAGCCAGGATCTTCACCTTCTCCCTTTGGGGCCCCTGTTTTCTTTCCCAGACTGCTTCTGCTTTTTGGGAACCCTTCTTTTTGGCAGCACCTCTTCTTTTCATGACCCCTATCTCTTGCTTTTCCTCATCTGAATAGTCTGTGATGCAGATACACAACACATGATCAGCCTCCACATTGGTGCTTCTGTCTTATGTCTCTTTATTGATGGGAGTACTTGGGACATGCTGCTATTGTTTAGTCCAGGGTTTATCAAAATTTATAGCCAGCACATACCGGTTGCAGGCAGCAAGCTTCTGCTTGAGAGACAGTTCAGAAGTCTGTTTCAGACATTCGCCCCCACACAAATTTACACCCAATTATCTGCCACTTGTTAGCATTCAATTTAAATTATTTTTCACCTACGCCACTTGTTCAAAGTTTGATTGCCAATATTGTTGCTTCTTCCTTACTAGTAAGAAGCATAATGAAACCATTAACACCTTGTCTCTGACAGCCATATGGGAAACAAGAGGAGCACTTGCTGTGGTAGCCAGAGATTTGTAAGCAGGACTCCTCCAAAGCTGTTTGCACCATAAGATCCCTGTCCCTCTCCCCAGGCTCTCTTAAGAGAGGGAGAAAGGAGCTGTCAGAGTGAAGCCCCATGTGTAACTGAAGCCGTATGAATGGCTACAAACCCTGAAGCCGTGCCGGTTCCCAGAGCAGCCTGTTCTTGCGCTTCACACTGCGTTGGGGTTATTGAATCATCATTATGCTACAGCAGCTGTCACCTTCAAAATGGAGAAGTTTCTGGGCGGTTTAGCTTCAGGCAACAGAGGGGAGGGAGAGAGGGTGTTGGGGCTATAGTTCTTGTACTCTCTTTAGATAAAGACACTATTACATATTGATTAGTAGATTTAGTGTATTTTCAGTATGTTTTAACCTTATTTTGGCAGTCTCTAGGTGTCTGGCCCACTTGTCTATGTGGACAATGTAAATGTGTTTTGAGTTTAGTGTAGGACTTACGGTCAGAGGAGCTTTCTGCTGAAGCTGAGCAGAGGGAGAGCTTTCAGCAGGTTTTCTTTGTCGTTTTAAATGAGTGATGTTTGCACCCACTCTCTTTTCTCAAAAGTTTGAGCTTTGTTAGGCTGTATCTGTAATACTGAAGTAGTAACTTAGACAAATTTTTAATAAGTTTAACTAGAGATCCCAGTTTGGAGAGACTCTCGATAAGACTTGATTTGCTGAATGAAATTATATATTTCTGACTTACTAAAACGCCTATTTGCCAGTGACCAGTAAACCAGGATTTTGCTTGTCAACAATTTAGGAATAGAATGAAATAAATACTCTTTGAGTTACTCTTTTCGGTGTAATGGTACAAAATTCCATTTGTAATAATGCTGTCAAATCCAGTGAAGCATGGAGTATTCTGTGCAAACGAGTTGTACTATTGTACAACACATGCCAGCATTTTGTCTTCCTGTACAGAATTGGAATAATTAGCTATTTCCTTTAGGTTTTCTAATTCTTATTCAAATAAGCTGAACTGCAGTAAAGCCTCTTCTTTTTCTCCTTCCCCTGTTCAAGGTCTTTGCGTGGTTTCTTACCAGTTTAAGCTGCATGGAATCAGCTTCTTGCAAATACACAATTAGGGACTGTTTTAATGGAGCTTCTGCTGTTGGCCAAGAATATCCCATTAGCTGAGCTCTTTCAAGTGACAAACTTGTGCAGGAATATGAAAACCTTTAAAATGGATACTACAGTGAAAGGTAGAAAACATTCACACAGTGAAATAAGCCTGGTTCAAATAGATCTGTGTTCATTTTGCTATGCCAAGCGTTTCCTGTAATCTCTTACAAAGACAGATACGTTGTTGGCAGATGCGCACTGTTTTGGACTCTTTCTGGAACTTTGCGGGGGATATTATCCTAGAGCAACGGAATTGTAATGTTTGTTTTGCCTTTTCCTTTCTAACCTCCAAGGTGCAGGAACTTCACGAGGAAGAAGCGCAGTGGGTGAACTACGACGAGGATGAACTGTGTGTAAAGATGCAGTTGGCAGACGGGATCTTCGAGGCCTTAATCAGAGACACTGTCGACGTACTGAACCAGATAAATGAGAAACAGCGAAGGTTGCTGCTTGTCTGACAGTGCTGAAAATAAACTTAGAGCTGCGTAACCACTGAGTCACGGGCCTTTCTGACTCCCGACGTACTCTCCACCCTGCAAGCGCTGCTGCTGGACTTCCATGCCTGGGGTTTAAAGGCAGTTCAGAACCTGAATTTGCATCTGCTGCCACTAGAGACCTTGCACCGGACTTACTGTTTGGAACAAGCTGATCACCCACTCACTCGAGGCTGTATTGTGGAGTGCTCAAGACTGTTCGTGTGCCAATGCAGTTATGCCACATAACTATCAGCAGCTGTCTCGGGCCCCAGCCTGGCACTTTGAATTGTTCAGCTTGTGCTCTGAAAGGGTTGGGTTAAGTCGGGATATTGGCTGCTTTGCTGGAATGGCTGTCAGCCATCAGTACTCAACTTGATTTTAGAAATGTGAGTAATTTGGAGAAGAAACGGTTTGGTCAGGTTTTAGTCATAAATGGAGACTTACCGTACTGAACAGTGTTAAAATCTTAACACCTCTTCTCCTGCAGCCCCTACAATGTGCATCAGTTTCTTCTGCTCCAGAGCCTGTTTAATTCCCTTCTCTGTGAAGCTGGTTTTCATGTTTCTTCTGTGATACGGTACCAAGTATGGTGCCAGCCAGTCCAGGGAAATTAGATGACGTTGCTTTCTGCATTCAAGTAAAGAATTCTTGCTGCTTTTCCTATGTGACTTGCTTCAGTCCCGAGGTGGAGCAAGATAAAGGCCGCCTAGTGTCAAGTGTGAAAGATGAGCCTGTGGACAACTTTCCTCCTACCGTGTAGCACTTCTCTTCCTGGAGCACCAGCTGCTCCCAGATACTCAGGTTTTTCTCAGGCACGAGACATGCAGGAGTGGAAAACGTTTCCTCACAAAAGTTTGGCCTTCAATCCCTCAGCTTCCTCCCTTACTGTCACCTAATCGGAGAAGCCGTTACTTGAACAATTTAGAGAACAGAGTGTATTCACCAAAGAAAGCAGTGTCCGGTGCTCGACTGTCTGCATGTTTTGTGCTTGTGGGTTTTTTATTTATTTTCAGATAATTTATTAAGTGGGGTATAGGAGAGTGTCCTGTGCAGTTGACTGCACTGTCTTATGTTTTGAGACAGCCAAACTTCAGAAAGCATCTGTTCTGGAAACTTCCAGAGCCCCGTATTCTTCGCACAAAACCTCCAGCTTTTTGAGACAGATACATGGCAGGGAGGTAAGAAGAACTAAACCTCAGTGACCAGGAGTGGGAAGCAAAGGTAGGACTAGGAATGGACCTTCACCGCACCTGGTTTCAGAGATAATGGAGAGTTGAGGGGATTGAGCTGAAAAATGATGTGAAACTTCCCTGCTCCATCTATTTCCTTCCTTTCCCAGAACTTCTAGGCCATGGGCACCTGTTAGTGGTCGATTCAGCGCTGGGTTCGACTGCAGCACCCTTCTGCTGAGTGTTCATTCCTAACCTGTCCCTCCCATTCTTGTGTTTTTCTTGGAGGAACACAGACAATCTGGGGTCGAATGCTGATGCCTTAATAGTGGATGTCCCTGTTTGCTAACCTGGGACAAGACCCAGAGGAGAGTCACATTCTCCAGACACACTGGAGTGCAGAAAGACACTTTGAAGTCCTCAGAGGTGCCCCAAAGATGCTGCAGCCCACAATAGGCGTGGCGGGGAGATCTCTACAGTTTTATTCATCTGCTTGGTTCTTGGGCTTCCTGCTATACATACCTCTGCTACTGTTCCATTTTATTTTCTCTTTTCCACTTTTTTTTTTTTTTTTGGAAAGCTATCATTGGAATATTTGCATTTTGCACAATGACACACAGCTGGTAATTCTTCAGGGACAGCACTGGGAAATGTTGGATTTGTCAGAAGTCCATGCAAATTCTCAGATGTAGTATTGCCAGCACCTCGCTTGTGAGTTAATGGTGAGCCATATTCATGGAAGCTTAACGAGTGGAGGAACAAGGAGGTGGTCATGGTGTATCAGAACACCTCCAGCAGGCATATACGTGTCTGTCCTGCAGTAGTGGCCCTTCTGGCTGGCTGGAAGTCAGATGGTCTTGGTGAAGCATTGTTCAGCTTCTTTCTCCCCAAGTGATTCATTTGCTCACGTAAAATGTCATGATGCTGAACCAGGAAACTCTCGAATGCTTAAGATAGAAGCAAACTAAAGCTGCTGCATTTAACCAGCATAGTGTCACTGAATGGGTCACCGCCTCAGATTCCCTTTCCTGGGTGTATCTTCTTCAATAGCGAGGGTTGCTATTTTTATAGGTAGCAGTTATGGAAAGAAGGCAGACACCTGCAGCGTAGGTTTGTGGCTGGAGTATCAGAGAAACAAAGTTAGTTTCTGTCCTCTGCGTACCGTGGCCAGTGTTGAGACGGTTGCCCTGCATCCCCGAGGCTTTTCAGCTCTTCTGTGGGGCTGGCGTGGCTTTTCTGGTCTGTCCACCAGCAGGGAGAAGGTTGTACAGTTGGCCTGCCAAGGTACCAGGGACTGTTGGCGATTGTATGCCTGTTGTCTTGCTGGCTTGAATAGCACTAGTTTAGTACCCTCAACAGAAGTAGTAGCTGGTTTTACAGCTGTTTGGGCAGAAGGAAGCTGTGTCTAAGGTAATGGCTTTATTCCTTTGCAAACATCACTGTTTATTTTTGGTAGAAGTCCTTGCTAGGAGCAACCCTAAAAAGATTTGAACATACGTGAATTATCTTCTCAATACCTCAGGTGTGTTGAGTTACTTTGCGTTGAGTGTATACTCAAAACCTTGAGTGTGTTGAGTACTTGTGGACTGATGCTTACTGCGATGAAGCAATGGTCTGTCTGGGTCGTGGCTGGTAACAAGGAGGTGTGGGGACTCCTGGAGTCTCACAAACAGAGGCTGAATTCTTTATTTCTCTCCTCTCCTCAACCTTCCCGTTATAAGAACAAGATGGTATTTCTGGGTCCTGGTTATCTTGGTGCAACCATGTTAGAAGATTCAAGGCTGAGACATTTTTCTGAGACCCATAAGCTGTTCGGGGCAGTGGCTGTCATCGCTGGGGAGATGCGGTTCCCTCTTCAGAAGAGTCTCGGTGCCAGGTGGGAAAGCCCAGGCTTGTGAGGACAAGGAGCGAGTACCTCTCTCACAGCAGGATGCTCCCTGAGCCGAGCTGTGGAATTCTGCCTTTCAGAAAAGGCTTGTTGCTCACAAGGTGGAACGAGGGATTGAAAAATCCTGTCTTGTTCACTTCCCTTTCTTGAAAAAGTGGCCTTAGTTTTTTTGCAATACTTGAATAAGTGTGTACCTGCAGAAGATCTTCAGTAGCACAGTGATAGAGACCTTTTAAGTGACTATTCTGCGAGGAGCTGCGTGCAGTTCCGACTTTCATATCCCTTTGCTACCTTAAGAACATTAGGAAAATAAAGTACTTTTCAGCAGAGAAACAGTTGAATCTTATAAGGTATTTAGTGCATCTGACATGTTTACAAATCAACTGAAATGGAGAAAAGGAAACTATTGAACTTATTTGTAATTTAAACATTAAATGCAAAAATATATACAGATGAAAGAGGAATACTGTAATTAACTTGCATTTACTAGTTTTTTCCTTGACTTTGCAGAGCCTTTTGATATACATTTGCAAAGCCGCCTTTGGGAGGCTCAGTCTCCCTGCGTACTGTGTTGTGGAGATGCTGAAAAGAAACACATTTACTGTGTTTGTGTAAATAACCTGGTAACTTGGTTTTTGGGCCAGTTTCAGCTAGTGTTCACATCCAGAGCAGCTTTGCACAGTAGACAGACCCAAGGATGTTGGAGGGGTTTGGTTTTTGTTGGTTTTTTTTTTTTTTTTGTAATTAAGAACTGTAAAATAACCAGGGTGGTCCCTGTGTACACCAGTGTAAATATCTTTGGTAACTGAAATGTACTTTAAGAGAACAAAATCTGTAAATAAAGTGATTTATAAATTAATCTTGTTTCCTCGTTCTTTATAAAATGGAGCTTTATAATTACCCAAATGGTTGCTAATTCTGAAGGTGTCCTGGAGATTCGCCCCTTGTACGTTCCCCTTTCTGTCTGATGCTGTACTTGGGATGCCAATCACAGTCCACAAAATCCCATTAGAGTTGCCTTAATTATAATCATAATATTGTTAGAATTTCCTTATTGTTAAAGCCAAGTGTTGATAAAAGCAAAACCAGAAAATAGCATTGCGTAACCATTGCAGAAGTGTGCCGCATGATCTGCGGCAGAAATACTAATCCTTGCATGTGTTTAAACCATGAGTTTTTAAAGCCTATTTTAAATAAAACGGGGCGGGGGGGGGGAGCTATTTTTTATGCTAAACAACAGTCTTGGAATTAAATTCTTCAGAGCCTTGGCCCTATTTTTGAATCCCTCAGTTAGGCTCCTAATTGTTACAGCTGCTGTTGCCAGCACTGATCACTTCTGCACTGAGGGGTAAAACATCATTCCCTGGAAACTTTATGTATCGGTGGAACTTTCCTAAATCTTTGCTGTTTCCTTTCCAGGAAAAAAAAAAAAAAAACCAAACCAAAAAAAAAACCAAACCTCCATCCCTGCTTTAACATATGAAAGGTCCCGGAGCTCTGTAAGAGTCGCTGAACAGTCGTGGTGCCAAACCACAGGCGTGCGGGCGCGTGGCGAACAAGTGGCGGCGTGAAATGTGTAAGGCCAAGCCTGTTTGTCGAGCCTCCTCGGTGCACACAGCTGCTGCTGCTCCTGTGCCTCGGCTGCATTTTCATGCCATTTGTTACCGTGCAGCCCAGCAGAAAAGGCTTTGCTTTCCATTTACTACAGATGTCTACAAAACCCAGTATTGGTCTTTCCAGCTTGGAGGGTGCTGTCTACTCCTCACTACCCTTCTCTACCTGGGAGAAGAGGCATATGCATCAAACGGGATGGGGGGGGACCTGTGTGAACAAAACTGTTGCAAGGGCTTTGTGCTGTGCTGAGCAGTTGTTTGCTCTTTGCTTTGCCTTAGCAGAGGTACCTCATCCCGGAGGAGGACTTGCTGCACTCCGATTTCCATTATGGAAGCAGCTTTGCTGTACTCACGTGGTGCCAGCGTGCGGTAGGACTTGTCCTCAGCGGAGCACGCAGAGAGCGCTCTCCGCAACCCTCGTACAGGGAGAAGCACGTCGCAGGGGAGTTGAACTGGCCAAAGTGTGGCAGTGGGTCGTTTGATGTCCAAAGGGCCGAGACAAAATGGTGCTGCAGCCTCTGTGCTCTCATTACTGAGCAGCGGGAGAGCATCCATGTCACTGCTTTCCTCACCCTGCAGCGATTTTGCTCCATGAGTCCTGTGTTTTTGGACAGTGATCTACTTGCAGCCGTCAGCATCCATCCCTGGAAGTGGCTTAGAGTGCGTTTCACGTTGAAAAAAAATTGATCTGTGCTTCTGTGGCTGAAGAACTGGCTTCCCTCTAAAACAGCTCAAGCGGTGGGAACGCTGCCACGGCCGCTCTGGTGAGTGACACAGCAAACTGCTGCATTGCTACCCCTGTCCTTGCCCAGGATGCCCAGTAATCAGCTTGATGAAGGCTCTAATTTCCTCATCTGCAAGTTTATATTGCTTAACTTCGGCACCAACTTTCTACAGTGTTTGTGCAACTCATCCCAGAACCCTCAGAGTGCGGTTGCCTTCGACAGCCGTTTCACCCATGGACCTGGTGAAACTCTCGGGTTGGGCAATGGCAGGCAGCTGCCTTCTCGACAGCACGCTGGATTGAGTTGGGAATGTTTTGGTGCCTCCCTTCCCGGGTGCCACCCGCTCCCAGGTGCCCGCCTAGGGAGGTGGTGCCAGCTTCAGCCATCCCACGTCCTAAAATGCCTGGCAGAGCGCCGGAGCACTTGAAATGTTGACTCTGCTCCAGACATCGCTGCGCCCTGCCTAGCACAAGGGCTTCTGCAATGTCCAAGCTCTCATTAACACAGCCCTGAGAAGAAAAGGAGCCAGTGGGGAGCTGCTGAACACCAGCGGCTCTCTTCAGCGTACAGGAAGGAGAGGAGGGGGCAGGAATGCAGACGAGATATAATAGAGTTTGAAAGCATAGGATGCTCTCTGGGAAGTGGGTCCTATGGGGGAGGGAAAGGCACCCTGAGAGGTCTGGAAACTGGAGCAAAGAAAGCCCATAGCCCCAGCCCTGTGCCTTCCTCCCTCTTCCCCAGTAAAATCCAACAGAAATTTGGGGAAAAGGAGGAGAATACAGCTGTCGGGGAGGCAGCAGCTCCATTCAGGAGGGTGAGGGTTGGGCATGAGTGGGGCATAGGGGCGAGATGTTTGGGGGAAGATGCCTTCTTTTGCCTGCCAAGCATGCTGTGTGAGGATGGCCTGGAGCAGGTCTGGTTGTGGTTCCTGCTCTGACTGTTTCTCTTGGCTCTAGTTTCCAGCCCTTTTCTCCAGCTGTGCAAGACCTGCTGTGTCCCTTGGGCTGCGTTCCCTCCCCGGTGTTGGTTTCGGGTGGCTTCCTCTTGGAGGCTGGCTTGTCTGTCACCGCCCTGGGAAATCTAGGTTGACTCAAACTAGGGTTTTGTCTGTGCGTTTGTTGGAGGTGGAAGTAATGCCAGTTCTGGGGAGTGTCCTAGAGGTTTTATTTTCTTCCAGCAAAATAAAGGAGGCTGCAAGGGATCCTACCCTTCGTGTTGCTTGGCTTGAGGAGCTCATCAAGGAGCCTGGTCCAGCGTCCGTGTCCTGCTGTGTTGGTCTGCGGAGGTGACGGAGCCAGTGCTGCTGGGTGAACCTGAGATTGGGCACACCAGTCTTCAGTAGGCGAGACCTTGCTTATGTTGCAGGACTACTGCCACAGCAAGAGAGGAGTGCTCCGTTGTCACCCGTGTGGTATTCTCAATTTCATGCGCTGCAATTAAACCAGCTGCCAAATAATGATGTGGCAAATCTGGGTGGTGTGGCTGCCTCCAGTCTGCTCCTGGAAGCTGGGCAGATGAGCTGGAGTGGAAAACATCTGGTCTGTGCATCCTGGGTCACGGTGATGATTTATGACTTTAAGTAGATCTTAAATTCGCAGGTAAAACGTTTCCTAACCAGACATACCAAAGACAGCACGAGTTCCTCACGGTCCCTCCAAGTCCCTCCGAAAAGAGCAAGGGCAGCATCACTGCCGTCCTTTCGAGCAGGGATGAATCAGCAGAGGGCGAATAGCAGAGAGGGGCTGGTACTGCTGTAGTCTCTCTGCAGACAAACTACGTGAACACTTCATCACATCCTGAGAATGCACCCCGGATTTTCTTTTACGTCTATTGTTATTACAGGCTGGTTGGGCTTGAAAGGTAGAAATCACCTGTATCCGACCAAGCCTGTCTCGCACAGTCGGCAATTCCCAGCTACCAGTGGGGGCTACAAGGGGCTTTCCTGGTCTTCATAGGTGTGAGCCTGGCAGAGCCGAGGCAGGGCATGGGAAGCAGTTGGGGTTCATATCCATTCTATGTGTTATTCCCTGTCTCAGCAAAGCCGTGGAAGCTGGCAGGTTTATCGCACAGGCACTGCCAAAGATCTTGTCTGAAATTGTGTCTCAGCGGAGTTGTGACTGGTGCCACCAGTGGAAAAGTGCCACCTGGACTGGAGTGTCCCAGCTGACAGCAGCTGGCACAGCTTTCCCTCGTTCTCTGAGGCTGTCTGGAGATGCTAACTGAGGAAATGGGGCTTTTTCTTTCATTTAGAGAAGGGCCACACTTTAGGCGGTGCTATGCTCCAGATCGAGGAGGGCTTCACCGAGTTCATCAGTCCATCTCGGGAAGGCTGGTGAGAGACAGGAAGAGTATGGAGCCTCCTCTGCAACTGGTATTTCCAAGGTGCTCAGAGGGGAGTTGAATGTGAACTTCTCTGAACGGCCTTCAAAATGCCAGGGCCGGGTGACGGGGTTGCCATGATTGTATCATGAGTCTTGCATTGGTTGCGTGTTTTTCTTGGAGTCAGTTCCTGGAATCACACAATTAGGTAGGAACGTGTTCTTTAATTTTCAAGGAAGAAAGTCCATTTCAGGATGTCTCTGTCCCCGAACCTTCACAACTAAAGGGAAGTGAGGAGGTCCTGGGTCGGTTTACCTGGCCATTTCAAGCTGTTGGTGTTTTGCAGACAGATTCATGCTTTTAAAAATGGACAGTAGAAACCTTTCCCCAATTTCTGAAGCATATTCTAGTCCTTTCCAGCACTTCAAGGGCTGAATACCTAAAAAGCCAACTGCTCTTTCTTCCTCTCATCTCTAGCCCAGCACAGAGGCAAACAGAGTAGCTCTTTGTGTCTGTGAAAAAGATCCATTTTGGGTGCACGAAACAAGTTCTGCATGATTTTGGTGAGGCCTTAGCTGCCTTTGAGGCTCTCAGTCTGTTGGTGTTGCCCACACCTCTTTGACTTCAAGGAGATTCCT